TCCGCCTAACGACACCAAAAGCTCAAAATTTTCAAAAAATTGAAAAAGTGACGTCAGATCAATTCTGATGAGTGATTCAGATGCAGAAAATTCTGCTGATTCTGGATCTGTTTTCAGAACGATGAAAAAAGTCTTTTTAGATGTAGAAAAAACTGTTTGAATTTTTTTTAGTTGTCGTCTGACTGAGTGTGTTGTACGTGATTGACGTTGGAAATGAACTGTTCTATAGTTGGCCGGGCTCGGCTCGGCCCGACGGGCTATAGAGACGAGCTCGAGCCTGGGCTCGGCTCGAGGTTGTATTTGTCTCTCGAGCTTTGTAAAATATTCGAGCCTAGGCTCGAGCTCGGCTCGAGCTCGCGAGCCTTATTTTTGGCCAAGTCTAAACTGTTCATTTAAACATTTAGTTTTACATTTCATTCTTTTATTTTCTTTGTTTATTTAGTTAAAGTGAAATGTCATATTCTTTCTTAATGTGTTAAGAACGATGTCTTTCTGAACAGTCTTATGCTTGGGGCAAGAGAGGGAGGTTGAAAGACCTCGAAATGTGAACTCTTTGTCTTCGAATAGGTGAAAATATTCGCGGTTACAAGTAATGCTGAACCAAGGCTTCTCACCATTGACATTCAATACTAAATATTCCGGTGAATCTGGGGATTTGAAGTTTTTCATTTCGTATGTACTGTTAACAAAATTAACAAGAAAACAAACAAACTGTAATCCATTAGTCCTGGACATCGGATATCTAGAAGTCCAAACGCCACCTTTTCTTCGTAAGAAAACTTGCATGTCAAAATTCATTGGCATTTGAAACAAGAGTTGAGTAACGAAAATCGTTCACAGAAGTGGTACTAATAAGAGTAAAGCTTTCCAAAAAGAAAGTTCCACATCTCTAGTTTCTCTGTTTCCTTTGTCGACTGATAGATTTCACATTTACTAAGCGTTGACATCAAATCAGGAGGCTTACTAGGAAAAACGACTTCGCCAGAAACCACCTGAAGCAGCTTTTTCTCAAAACTGAATATATTATCATACCTTTAAAGGTTCAACGAAGTATTTCCAAGACAACAAGAAGATCTCTAGTTTGCCCTCTTCAGTTGTAATAGGGTTCCTCAACACTGATTCCATAAACTGTTGGCACAATTGAACAATATGATTCACTTCGAATTTCTTCCCCCAATGAAGCAACTGCCTGAAGTTGTGTTCTGGAAAACTGGAAGACTATGTTTGAACCAAGAATATCATACCATCGACTGCCTCCAAGGGGAAGTAAATGTAATGAAGAAGCTCGCGAAGATCTTCGACTGGAATTCCTTCCTCCAAAAAAATCTCACATGAAGCTCTGCTGTCACTAATTGGCTGAAACATTAAACCAGCTGGGTCTAACCTCTTCTGGATTACAGCTTTGAAGACCTTGGAGTTCCAAGATAGAATCTGAGATTTCTACTGTGAATGATATGCATTCCCTCTCATACCTGACTGTGGCAGTGAAGCTTCTCACCGTTCACATTCAATACCACATCTTCATTGGAAATTGGATTTTCGAAAACTTTCCTTTCGAATTGACTATTTTCATGAAGATGATAAGAAGTACTGTAGCAAACTAACTGTAACCCTGTCGCCCTGATGTTGGAAATCTCGACTTTCACCTCCACAAATGTTTGATCAGAATTAGCCCTCATGTCTTCATAACACAAAACGTCGTTCGTAACAACTTCTTGTTTTTTACGCACCCATCTTAATTTCTGGAAAAGACCAACGGTTGAATGAGAAAACTCTTCCATCCATACATCGCCCTTCTCCATACGTATGCACGTGTATGTGACATCGAATACTATACTCCAGAGCATTATTGGGCATGTTATCTCTCCACGCGGTTCGCTACTCAACGTGATTATAGCACAACCACTATTCGAGGTGAAATGTACAGTCCTAAACTCAGATTGAAAAGTTTTTGAAGACAGACAAACCATTCGATATTACCATTGCAGAGGTTCATAGAATGACTGCGAGCTCTTGAAGAAAGTTCCAAGATATGAGTGAATGTGACCTCCATATCACCTTCTTGATCTGAACATCTGAGATTAGTGAACAATTATGAAAATTATTTCGCAATCTGTATAGTACTAAGGAACCTGAGACGGGTTATAATAAAAATACAATCCTCGAAGAAATCAAAACACTTTCTATAAGACATTATGAAATAACTTCAATGCTTGAATCTAAAGTTAGATTCAAGCATTGGAGTTATTTCAAGCTTCAATTAGAAAACTACAAAGCAACGTGAATGTGTTGACCTTTGAGGGAAGAAATAAGACATTTGAAAACAAAACTATCAGCTCACCGGATCGATTGTAAACAAAGCTTGTAAACAACTTAACGTCTTTTTATCATTAATACATCACAGTGAAAACCATTTTACTCTGATTTCTCCTTAGCCCTTGTACTGACACGGAAGACGAATTTGAAATGAGAATAGCCTTACCAACAGGGTCGTATTGTCAAGTTGCATATATGAATGCTCGGATAAAATAACATTGTTATTCAGACAGAATTTTGAACTGAAACAATCCTGGAAAAAACTAATTCTATACTTTTTGATAAGTAGTTCACTCACGTTCACATTCCATGAACGACCGGGATATTTTTTTCCGCGTAAAAATGCTTTTCACGTAGCGCGTAAATGACGGTTTTCCACGCTGGTACATAAGCTGTGAAACATTCGAACGTGCCAGTTAGCGGTTTGCGCCGGTGAGCATCATTCCTCATTCCATTATGTTCTCCAAGATGGTGTTAAGCTCATCGACACCATAACCATCCATTAAGCAATACAGCACAGAATGGTTGCATTTCCTCTGGCTAGGAGCAATTGTTCATCTTCAGAGAGAGCTAGCTCAACATTTCTTTGTTGAGATCACCAACAGTAGCTTCTTGTACTGTTCCTGATCACATCGTCAGAAAAGATGAACACAATAAAACACATTCGTTGTGATCCATGCAGGCACTCGCAGCACGAATTGTGAAAGCTGTAATATTTAGGAAAATGATTATTCGTTGACGCGTGGCTCAAGCTCTGTTTCCGCCTATCTGAATGAGGAAGAAATGTACGAACGAAGAAAGACTCACTTTTTGATCGAAGGTTTCAAACGAATCGTTCAGAAAAAAGTGATCAACACAAAAGTTCAATTTCAACTTCCCAAAGGGATTGAATCGAATCAGTTAGAATGAGAGTTTCCCTCCAAACGTATGTAAATATTTCAAGGCAGAAGCTCACAGAAAAGGAAAATTAAATAAGATAATCAATATGTTGAATAACAAAAAAACAATAAATCATAAAGATGGATCGGAGTTATAAGTAAGTCTCAGATTGAAAGTACTAACCTTTCTGTTAAGAATGGGTGACTGCTGCTCATCTAGGCTATAAGTAAATTGGAAATACTCCAGACCACAGAAGATCGAACAAACGATTGTTAATGATCATAAGCATCCATCGTTCATAATTGCAGAAGAAGAGAGCAATGTCGTAGGTAATTTATAATCATATTAACAAAATAATATTATTATTATAAATTGTATACGCATCATTGCGTGACTATCAATTCGCCACGACGACTTCTTGCGTACGCGTTTAAAATTGCTCGATTCTCGTGAAATTGATAAGTCCCTCCGTTATCTATAATAATCTTAGAGTTAAATCCCGTTCCTAAAGTTTCTTCGAATATGAATAATACAATGGTTAGTTTAGTGCACGAGTGGAGATTCATGAATATTGTCGAACAGTATTCAGCTGTACACTCATTTACTTTTCCGATATACTTAGAAACATATCATGAATACACGTATATACATAATCATTTTCAATTCAGTTGCTGATGAGCATTCTATGCATTCATCAATGAAGGTATAGTGTGAGTTTTTCAGATTGAATTGGCTGAAAAGGAATACAGAGAGAGGAAGATTGCTTTCGACTTATGGAAGAACACCAATGCGTAAGCTTTGTTTCAGTTTAGTCGTCAACATCGCTTTTCAGACATCTCCTAGGAACGCCTGATTATGAGAAATATACGAAGCGATTCGCTGATTATGAAAACGATTATTTGGATAAGTCAGATTGAAGCTCATTACTCTATTCATTGTTTTCTCGTTTAGGATGCAGCGTTTGAGAAATCCAACAGTGGAAGGTCCAAGGAGCGTAGATTCCATTCTAAGTAAATTCTTGTTTGTTCCTGTTTCCCTTATTTTGTTCTTTCAGTGGAGCTGTTAGAGAATATCAGTTTTAGAGACTTTTTCGCCGCTCTTAAAAGAACGGATGAGTTGGATAAAGATTTCGTGTCGGCAATGATCAAGAATCTGAATACAGTTCAAGGTTTGCATGAAGGGTGTTGGGTTCATCATATCTTTCTTCAGCGACTGGACTAGTAGTTCCCGTAGCTGTGAATCCTGCAAACTATCATGTTGGCTCAGGTAGCTCAGGTGCTGATACTACCTGTAATTCATATTTTCTTCAGCATCGTCCTATTATTCCATGCCGACGATGCCTACAATGCCATCCGTAACAAGTTGGGGACAGAGTCCTCATTGGAATAGTAATCAGCATCTCCGAAAATTCAAGTGAGGATGATTTGAGTCTTTTGGCTTCTGGCTATGATTCAATTATTTGTGATATAGGCCACCGTCCCCTCATCGCGACTACAAGAATCCTGCTTCTTCCATGCCTTTTAAAGATTTCAGTCAGTGAGTAGTAGAAAAGTATTATTAATTATTGTTATTTGGCCATTCTCTCACAAGCGTTCCTATGTTACTCTTCCACCGATCTAAACCATATGTGGTTATTATTAATGTTCCTTGTCTAACACTCTTCCAATAAACCGTTGTACAAATGCTGCTTGTGCTGCTGCTCAGAATATAGAAAGTGTTTACTACCATAAGAGCTTACTAAGAGAATGTGCAATGTGATGCTTTGTTGTGACATCAAGTTTTCGAAATTCGAGAGTTGTTTGTCAATTGAGAAGGTGTGGTGTGCTCATTCTTCAACATATCAAGCTCTTTACCACATTTCCATCTCGTTCGCTGCTTTTAACTGCCATTGCTGTGCTTCATCGGGATTTGAGTTTAGTCGTCGCTGACTGAGAAATGAGTACATTGTGAATCTTTTTGTTGGCCAAGTACTCATTAAATTATTGAAGCAAATGGCTCTCATTCGATCAGTTTACATATTAGGAGCTATAGAACGTTCTAATAATGAAAATGGAGATGATGAGTGTGATGAGGAGTAGGAGGAAGAAGAGAAGAAGCAAAGACGTTTCAAAATTCACTCCCTTATTAGTATAATGGGCATCGCCCTTTCAGTGTGAAGATATCAACTCTGAAGAGCCCTTGTGTGATTATGATCTTGAATATGCTTGATATCGCTCATATAGAGTCTATTCTCAACTAATTCTCTTAAAATAGAAAAGCTAAAGAGAGAAGGATATAGAGAGTGTGTCATGTGCATTTCTTGCTAATTCTTCCGTTTCTTCCCCCCCCCCCCCCCGCTTCCATCTTCAGACATTTCATATAAAAATGTCTATTTTCTTAAAGTGAATGGTCCATTCGCCTCTGCAGCCAAACACATTTTGCTTTAAATTCTCAGCCTTTCAAAAAACACATTCGACTGACTATCTACGAGTTCTTGTTTATTTAGTTTATTATGCTGCATGTTTCGGATCAATCGGAAAAAACAGAAAGGTCAATTGTCTTTGAGTTTGGAAGTGTTGCTGTCAGCTAATTAGGTAATTAGAGGATGTTACGGGGGGTTTAGAAGGTGAAGGATGCAAGCCATCCTTCGTGTCTGTTTGTTGTCAGCATGAGGATGTTGCTTGAAGAAGCCTAATTCGGTTTGAGCCTTTTATGGTTGGAATCCCGAGTTGACCCAGTGCACAACATCACTTCCTTAGTTTCTACAATATAATTTTGAAGTTGTAACTGCGACAGATTCCATTCTGCTGTTCATTTCTCTCGTCTTCATCTTCTTCATGTGCCGCTGTTGCTTCTTCTTCATCTTCTCAAACTTCTTGTTGGTTTTGTAAAGAAAAATATTTTGTGTGTAACTGCATATGCGAATATGTAATTTACCGAAGAAAACTATCGAACATTTGCCATTTTATGCTGTTTTCTCTTGTGCATCAAATGGTTCTGAAATAACATTTAGAATGAAGCATGAATTGAGCTTCATGTTCAATTTGTACTTCAAAGGAAACATCTTAAAGAGTCTGATATGACTAAGCATCAACATGCTCACATACACTCACACACACACTCACCCAACCACATCATGTCTCCAACAAATCAAATATTAGTTCATTTTCAATTCATTTTTGTACTTTCCTTCACTTGTCCACTTGATTCTTTGAAAAATTAACGAAATTGGATTATTGCCAACTATTTTAACATCTCCGATGCTTCGAACGGCATCTCAACTTAGCACAAACAGACCGATTTAGGAAGCCTGACTATTTCCTTTTTGAATGTTCTCTCCGAATGCACACAACTAACAGAGTTCTCATGTGTGACTTTTTGTGATCTGTAGCTCTCCTCCTTACACTGCCCATCATTGTCGTCATCATCTGTGCAGACGTTCTAATATCCGGCAATGAGTGAAGAATGGTCAAAGATTGCTTAATTTACTTTTTTTCGAAGATGTTTTGTTACTAATTAGGTGTGTGTGTGTGTGTGTGTGTGTGTCTACTCATTCACTGATTGTTCCAAATGTGAGAACTTCAATGACTTAACAAGATTATTCCTGTTTTTAATCGTTCAGTTGTCACTGTCCATCGTTTCTTCTGCTCTTATCAATTCATCCAACAACTTGATATTCCCCTTTGAATGTCAGTAATCAAAGTTTTGAAACTGTCAGCTTTTCACGTTGTTCAAATACACACACGCACAGGTAGAGGAATGGAGGAGTGGCGCACTCTCTCTCGCTCCCTTTCTCTCTCTCTCTCTCTCTTCCTGCATCTTCCCCCCCCCCTCCTTTCTCCCCCAACTTCGTGGCAGCATTTTTTCCTGTCTTCTCTCAAAAAGGATTAACATTTCCTTCACAGCTGACTATTTTTTTGAATATATTTCCTCTTTCTCTCTCTATCTCTCACTTTCTCTTTCTGTACACTTCCCTCTCTCTCTCTCTCTCTCTCTCTTACTCTCTCTCTTTCTCTCTCTGTTAACTTGACAGAGTGTCTTCGTTATCCCGTTTCACTTAAATGACTTGCTTTGTTGACCAAAATTATTATATTTTTCAGCTCAACTTTGTGCACTTTTGCTTTAATATGATCATTCACGCTCCTTTTCTTGTTGAATAAACTCGTTTCTCTTCTGTTAAACATGGAACATTCCCTTCATGTATATTATTATTTTAAATAAAAAACAACAGAAAAAGGGTCAGGAAAGGAGGAAGACGGCAGTTGTAGTGATAGAGAGAGAGAGAGATAGAAAGAGAGAGAGATGGGGGGGGGGGACGAAACTCATCAGCCATTGAGACTTTTCCTTCATTCATAACATTGTCAGAGACATCTTTATGTGTTTTTATAGTTTTCAAACAGTCAAACGTCTCTTTGGAACAACTTGAACGTAGTCACTTCTGTCAAAAATGACAAAAACTCAGAGAGAGGTAGATGAAGTGATAGAGAGAGAGAGAGAGAGAACTCCCTCCTTTATACTCTTCGTTTACATATCCGCTTATTGACTTTACATGTGACGGTTGTTGTCTTTTGCTCTTCAACAATCGTTTTCCTTCTTTCTTTTATTAATTTAAATATTAATTTTAATTGTTGATGGGTAAACATCTCTCTCCCTCTCTCTCTCTCTCTCTCTTTCCACCTCATTCCCTTTCTGTTTTTTAACTACAATTGTTCTCTTTGAATCTGTTTCTGTTTTGTGTATATCACCTTTGCTCACATCGGAAGCACGACGTCTGCCATCCGATTAACATCCATTAGAGACCTTTTCTAACTTTCATTTCTTTCCAGATTTTCTTATACTAAAGCCAAGACGAAAGATTTTTGGTTAATAGAAAGAGAAAGGTGCTTGCGATCGGAACAATCCCCCCCTACTAGCTCATGGAAATCATTTCTTGACTATAGCCTATACTCATAATCAGCTTTTCTTTTGTTTAACTATGTGGATTGATGACTTTATGCCTATTATGGCAATCGCTGTACTTATATGGGTGATTGTCTATTGTATTCTGATGTGTCAACGCATTTTTCGTGATATGGATTCATCCGCTGGCTTATATCGAAGTAATGTCGTAGCAGCAGCTATAAAGTAAGTCAAATTCTTTTTCTTCTATTTGTATCTCCAAACCTCATTCACATCAACGCTGGACAAATACAAGATTTTCACCCTTGTCGTCGTCGTTCACTCATTTTTTCGCATTTATTTTGCATTTGAAACAACATCGTGTGAACACAGTTTGAAAAATGTATTTCTTCATGTCGCTCCTGATTGAAGCCCCTTAACAGACATTTTTGTTTTGACAACTTACATGAGGTAAAACCAGAGTATTCGTATTTTGCAATCAAATTCAATAAGAAACAAATGAAATACTCACATCGATGATGCATTAGCATACTCACGTCGATGAGGCATTAGCATACTCACGTGACTTCACGGACGCAGCGTATGCTCATTCGTAGATCTTGTCGACGTGTAGAGCGGTTGCATTCCTCAACTCCCTTCCTCCTAATTAACAGCAGTTATCAGATTCTAACGTTGTGTTGCCTCATCTGAATCTATTTCAGTCCGGAGGATAAAGTGATATTGGCATTTCTATGAGAAGAGCACATTCCAGAGTTTCTATATATAGATCTATCTATCCATCTATCTATCCATCTTTCGTTCTGTTAATTATATGATTACGGGTTCAAAATGATAATTTATGAATAAAATAGTTCTCAATCACACATGACTAGTCTATATAGTTATAATACAAATACAAATACATAATATAATATGTATATATAATGGAAGAAACCGTGTTTCGGAGGTTTTCACAAGAGTTTGTCGATACATTACTGTCTCTCACTCTCTCTCTCTCTCTCTCTTTCTTTCTGCTGAGAAGAAGGAGAGGGAGGAGGAGGAGGAGTAGAAGGAGTAGGAGAGCAGAAAACAATGGAACGGAAGTATGGGATGATAATCAATATCATTATCGCCTTTTTACAAATGAAGAAGACCTTTAGTTTGGAGTACTAGTAGAACAAGATGGAGAAGAGGATAGAGATGAAGAAGAAGAAGAATAAGATATGATTAGCGCAACTTATGATTGACTGGCAGCGGTTTCCTTGGAATAGATACGATTCAATTTATAAACTGCCATGGGCTTATCGATAGTAACCTATAATGAGAATAAAGAAATAATAAAAACTGTGAGGTGAATGGATGGTTTCATCCCCAGTATGTGCATACACGCAGCTGATCACAAGTAGATAGAAGAGAAAAGAATAAAAGCTTTGAATGTTTTGCATATGTTAATATGAGAAGATACAAGCAGTGAAAGGAAGAGAAAGCTTGGAAAGAAACGACATCGACAGGTGACATCAAAAAAGGAAATGTGCAATAAACCATCGTGTCATTGTGTAAAAACACTTAATCTCATAACAATTTACAAATAGGGGAAGAGTGAGCCACTAGGCCTTAGTCACAGCTTCGGTCGAGGATTCAGTTTTCGGAACTTGTGATGTACTATCGGCGTCATCCGTTACGGGCTTCTTCTTTCTCACTTTAACTACACGTCTGACTATTCGTTTCTTTTTTGGAGCAGGTTTATCCGGATTATCAGGGTCCTTCTTAGAGCTCATATCATCCAGAGGGAGACCATCACTAGTTTTAAGTTGGGCTTCCCCAGTTTCGGCCAATTTCTTCAAAGTATCTTTGATTATTGTTGACGGCTGGCTATTTGCGGAAACTTTCTTGACTGGCGTGGCCGATCCTGATTCAGCGGACAACTCTGATTCGGGTGTGGCTTTTCCAGGCGCGTCTTTGAGCAAAGCAGGATTTTTTGGCTTCACAAATGTTTTCCTGATTGTTGTCACGGTAGGAGCTGGCTTTTTTTCCGGCTCTGCTATAGACTTCGCAACCTCGGTCTGTGAAGTGAGAGCTTTTTCGGTTTTGCTATCATCACTCGAGGCGGGGGTAGAATCGGTACTGGGCTGCTTTTGCAACTCAGGTTTTGCAGCAGTTGCTACCAAAGGCTTCTTCGGTTCATTCGTAGCAGCTTTTCTTAATGTTACTTCCGCACCAAACCTTTTAGCCCAAGATGGTTTGCCATCATCATGGACTTCATGGTTGGGCTTCTTCGGGACAATTGGCTTTTCAACCTTTTGACTTTCATTGTCAATATTCCCATTGGAATCTGTGATCTTCTTTATAGTCGAAGATCCTTTTTGAAGAGGAGGCGGCGGTTTCTCAACAGCTTTCACCATAGGGATCACAGGGGTGGAACTCTGATCAGCATTTGATTCACGACGTATTAATGAAGGCAGTTGAACCTTAGTTGTACTAGAACGACGTTCTGGATCAGGAATTTTCTCCTTGGCAGAAGATGCAATGGTGGGATTGGCCAATTGGCTACCACGAGGTTTAGGAGGCGATGCAGTCTTAAAAACGAAGTGCTTTGGCTGTCTATACTTTAGTTGGTAACACTTCTACAATTAGGAGTGCACACTGAACGTCACTCTGTTTAGAGTATTGGAACGAAGAGCCACACTTAGTTCACATCAAACGTCATGTTGTGATTGCCTGTGTTAACAATTGGATAGACATAAATCCAACTAAGAATAACAGATAATCTGAAAACCGCAACACAATGCACAGACGATCTTAAACTTTCACCTGAAACGACACGAAGGACAACGACGAGACAATTTATTGCAAAATTTCTTTGAAAGAGGAAAGAAAAGAGCAAAGATGCTATTGCACATGACGAACAAACTAGACATAACTGAACATATAACTGACAGGGGAGACTAGTGTAACACCAAGTGAATGTTATTAACACTCGTTAACACGTAATAGAAGATGTGGACACTTGATTCACAAAAACGATCTAACGATTCATGCACAATTCACGTCATGCTGAAATTGTACGTGAAACGTCACGCAATCTCGATGGTGCAACTCAAACGCATGCGACACTAACCTTAGGCGGTTCAGCAATCTTCTTCGGCAATTCCTTTGCTAGCTTTGGCTGAAAATGATGGGTGAATGGAGTTATTAGTAAGTGAACAGAGGGAATATATGTTTGGTGTAAATTCAATATGAACTATTTCAACTCAAGGTTCTGGAGTAACTCAAATCGTTTAAGGTTAATGGCTTTGATTAGGGATGATTTTCGTTTTGAAGGGCAGAATGTGCTTGTCACCGGAAATAATATATAAAATTTCAAAATTATATCTTTTAGAGGAACGTATATTTCAGATTGCTTCTTCTTCGTACGTCCGAAACACTTATAGATTCTTCTTTCGGACAATCTTCCGAACTAGAGGTACTACTCACCACTGGGTTTTTAGCAAGTTCTTCCGCTTCTTGCTTGGCCTTCAATGCTGCTTCTCTACGTAACACACGTTCTGAAATTCCCATCATCAGTACTTTAGTATTCAATTACAACAGCAACAACAGCCCTCATCTTTTTCTACGTGGCAGTTTCACGCCTTTTTTTCATTTTCACTTGTGCGGGCTGAGAGAGCGGTTGAGTCACTTACTTATTTCTCCATTTCGTAATGTTGCATGCTCTATTTTGTGCCGGCCTTCTGGTAAACGTAAGTTCACTGATACCTAGAAGCAAGAACATAAGAATCACTACAGCACGAGATTATTACTTTTGTTAATCCTTTGTTGGAGACAATCGCCTCAATTATTTCTTTTTCAGCAGACGTAGCAAACGACACTCCCTGCAAAGCAATGCATACTTGTGTACATCTAAGGGAAAAGGATCCTACCTGATTTACCGCTTTTATTTCTTCCAAACTCATATTGACACAAGCTGCTTTAAAGAGCCGTGAAAAATAATCTCCTGAAAGGTAGTTCGTTTCAAGATTCAACCTCTTCAAAGTTTGGTTGAGTTCCAAAACAGACGGTAGAACCTAGAAGAACCGAGATAGCAAAGCGATCAAATAAGGAAGAAACTCACTGCAACATCATTGTCATACAATCCCATGTTAGCCAAGCTAATCCGTTCGCAAAACTCATTATAAGCTAAAGCTTCGAGTAATCGTCTGATTTGTGGAACAGGAGTTCTCTACAGATGGTACCATTGACGAGGAAGAGGAACAGAACTGAACATACCTTCATATTATTCAAATTCACTTCTTTTAACGTCGGATCATTGTCATTCAGCCGACGAATACACTGTTCGACATCTGGAATGATGTGAGCTGGTCAGAAGCTTGAGTCATAAGTCTGACCTGTATCATTTTCTGGCTCTGATGGACGGGTTTGCTCAGGTAAACTACTTTTGACAGGCCCCTCACAGGTATCTTGAAGAATACGTTCTGCTTCCTCCCAAGAAATAATCCGGCTCTCATTCATGGCCTCTGAACAGGAAGTAAACTCTCAAACACTCTCTTTGAGAGAAAAAACTAACTGATGAGTTCACTGAGGTCATGGTTACCCGCTTCTCCAAGCTGCTCGATGGCTTGACAAAACTCATCATCCGTCATTAATTCGTGTGCCATTTTCTAAAACACTTATAATGAGTACGAGGTCTGAACAGTAGAATAGCAATAGGAGATGAAGATCGAACGATTATTAGGTAATAAAAAGCTGTATAACAGGAAGAAAAATCAAAAAAGAGCAACAAGGAGAACACACAAGTCGACAGTTGCTTCCGTCTACTACGTGTTGTGATAAACCAGACTATAGGCCAAGTAATGGAGTTTTGGAATTTGTTGATCTCAAAAGAAAAAAATGAAGGACACTTTTGATACTTACATTATTTTGAAAAGAACATCGAGAACCAAGTTTCATAGCTCATCATTAAAAATTGTATTGAAAACACCAGATGTGAATTGATAGAGGGAGGGGGCTGGTGGAGAGAGGAACACCGATCATTCAAAACCTCATAAGTTACTAACTTTCGGCTAGATGGAAATAGAATATAGTGACTAATACAGGGTGAAAGTAAAGGATTCGGAGGGAAAGGAGAGAGGGAGAGAGAGAGAGGGAGAGATATTGGGGGAGAGAGGAACAGAGAGAAAAAGAAAGAGAGAGAGAGAGAGTTAACGAATAAGACTGGAAGAGAGATAAATAGCGAAGGAGCGAACGTATTGAAAAATAATGGAAATGTAAGAGAAGGAAGGAGGCCAAAGACAGCTGTTGTCCATCTTCTCTTCACCGACTGTTCCTGAAGAAGCTCCGTTTATTCATTGGACATTGTAACGGAATTTCATCCAAGAAATCAATATGTCCATCTGTTGATCTTCACACTTTGTGAAGCATGAGGATAACCTCATGTGATAAGTGTTTTTACAAATATTCAAAAATATTTATTGTAAACTGAAGGCAAAGTAGTGCTCACGAAACACAATCGGATAAGACTGTGTTGCTTACTGCAGGACAAGAAACTGTGTAAACTGCAGCTACGGCAGGGAGAGAGCGGAGGAGAGCAGCATTGTAGGCTTTTTTGTTTTATTACGAATGCGAGAAGTTCCGAACGATTTTCAGAAATGCCATTTATGGAGGTGACTGATCGTTCTACAAGACAAATTTGGAATATTTACCATCCAATAATCGAGCATTCCAGCAGGTACTCGTCAACTCAGCTGTGAGAGAGAAGGAGAGAAAGAGAGAAAGAGAGAGAAAAAACAAATAAAGAAAGTTATTGGGAAAGAGAGGACGTTTGAAAAGGAAATTTAATTCATTAAAGAGCATATGATCATCTTGTTCATTGCTTTGGATAATCGAGAGGACGATGAAGGACACTCTCAGAGATTAAGAAACAACAGTCTCTCCTAACTGGATTTTCTTTTTTTCAGAACAAACTATGTTAAGATACAAACATTTTGGGATATTTGAAGAAAAGACAAAATATTTGGAAGAAAGTAAGAAAAGGTTTTCAATGTATTTGAGCTGCTGGCTCAGTCGAGGTAAAACAAAAGTCAGAGCTTGACACAACAGACAGAGACACAACGAAAACTGGATGATATGCAAGATTTTTGGAAAGAACAAACAAGTCAAAGTTAACATTATGTCGGCTTGGAATTAGCAGAAATTATTCTGAAAATGAAAAAAATAGAAAAAAATAAAAACAGGAAGGTGCGAAGGTGGAGAAAGGCAAGTAGATACATATAGAGGAATGGATGAAAGACGAATGGTGGAAATGAAACTTGTTTCGTTCGTCTTCCGAATAAGTCTCACTGATTCGTCGTGTTCATCCACCACCATCTTCCTTGTATGGATGTGTCATAATTGCCAGGCAAGTTGGCTGACGACAACTATGAGTTGTTCCATGTAAGGCAATAAGAAATACAATCAATCTTCTATGAATAACACAGCGGGTGTCGAAGGTGCAAGCTTTTGATAAGAAGAGAATAATCCGAATTCCAGAAACAATACATCACAGATAACCGGGCAAACTGTAACAAAGAAACGAAATGTGGCACTTTCAATGAAAAACTGCGAAAATTGTGCATTTGAAGTGCAAAAAGTAACGGAAGTAGCTATGAGGCGCGATAGACAAGGCAGAAAATTGTGAGGGGAGATACTTGAAAAGCTCACGGCGGATCGGATCGATTGGTTACACATCATCAGACCAGCTTCTACGCCTTCATGCTTTGCTGATTTTCAAATTTAGGAATGATAATATTAAAAACGGAAAAGAATCCATAAATATGAAGAAGTGAATACAGGTTTGAGGATGAAAGATGAACAACGACCGAGAATAATCAATGTCGGATGACCTGATGATATTTCTACGGAACATTCTGTTTTTTTCACTTGTTATCGTGAGTCATCATTGAGGATTCAAGGTTCAACACAACTTTCAACAAAATTTGTTCGAAAAAACGAGAGGAAGTATGAAACTGAGGTGAATGAATACAAAAGCTAAGAAAGTGGCGAACGAGTTCATCCATTCACGTCCAAACTGGATTATTAGGTTAGCATAGGTGGAAGAAAGAGAGTTGAGTTGCAGGTACAATTATATGAGATGCTGTGAATGAATGGCAAAAGAGATATGTGCAAGTGGCATTGGTCAGGATTTGTAAGATTGAGGGAATAGTTTGGTTGTTGAGACAAAACAGATATTTAATAATGAAAAGAGAAGATGAAATAAGATGATAGAAGAGAATTAGAAATGAAAGGAGGAATGTTTTACAAAAGGAAAACAATTATAAAAGATATCCGAAAAACAACTGCGAGTGTAATGAGATTTCCGACTTAGCCAATCACACACACACACACACACACACACACACATACACATTGACCGTTTCATTAATTTTGAGCTAAAGCTGTCAATTCTGTCTCATTCTGACAGTCACATCATTGAATTATGCGAATCAAACAAGAAACTTCCGATATGAAAAAGCAAACAAACATATTATAGGCTTTGAAAAAGGATGCTGTACTGAAGGGGAACTCCACGAAAAATAAACTAAATCGCTTAGAATGCCATCTATTTGGAGATTTTGACAGATTTCATCAATCAAAGTCCTAAGTGAAAACAGTCTATGTACTGACGTGAGTGAGTTTTATATGATATAATGGTTTGAGCGAGTAGAATAAACAGTCTTCTTTTTATTCTTGGAACGATTTGGGAAATAAAACTAATATTAGAAAGCAACTGTTACTGGATTCACGTTTTTGACGTAAGTCACGTGAAGCACGTGGCTAGTCCTACGTGAACTGCGCTAACAACTGCCGAGTCATTTGAACATATGCATACGAGCTGAGCGGTTGATTTCCAATTCGTGAAACATGAAACATACAGGAACCGCATACCCGTTTTATGCAAATTTTCAACATTAGCATAGTTGATGCTGTATGTTGCACAAGATCTATATGATAGACTCTCAAAACCAAGAAAATTTACTGCGCACAGCGAAATGCAAAAAAAAAAAAAAATAATAAATATCGAAAAGAACCTCTGGCAGGGCAGAAGGATTGAATGATGGCAGAAGTGTTGCAGCCAAAGGTACTATATAATCCGATTTCGCTTGTTTTAACTAGTGCTTACAATACAAAAAGGTTGAACAAAAACTATAAAATTTTAAGGTAAACAGCATTTAAACAAATGCAAGCATTCAATTGTTAGAAATTTGAAATAGTTATAAAGAACGTCAAGAATACCTAGAGCTGGAGCAAAAAACTGTTTGCTCAACTCGTGTCAACAGGCTTCTCTAACTTCTTCAATTAGAAATGTGTTCTATCATTCTCCCCTTTACATATGAACCATCATTTCCAGTTTCTAGCACACGAAAAAAAAATCAGAATGAATTCAAAACAACAAATGATATTTGAGGCACAAAAAAAAAGAATTGTGGTGGCGACCTAATGACCAAACAGTTATACTTTGGACATTACCTCACTTCCTGTCAAAGAACTCAATAACAACTTATACTAGTTAATTTCGAATGTCTTAAAGGTCTGTTGAACACACAAACATTTCTGCATTTTATTGTCCACGGTACCAGAATATAGCTTACAGTAAGACTATATCGTCATCGGCATTGACTTGCGACTTCACATGACTTAGGTCACGTTTATAATTCTTCTCTCGCAACCTCATATTTGTTTCTATTTTGAGCAAATGCTATTTATACACTATCATCTCTTTAGTTCATCCCTCAGTTCATTCTTGAACTTCTCCGTCTTGTTCAACAAACTCATGGCAAAAGACATTGACTTAACTATGCCTCATCATAACTTGTGTGAGAATAATTCATTAGGACATCGTGTTGCATACGCATGGCTACTAGACTATGTCCCGATGTTCTTTAAACTAAAGTTCATAATATTGTTTATTAATGAGCTATTGGTAGAAATGATATGTCATGGAATTGGATCTATGGAGTTCGTTGATATCGTTCGTTTGATACGAATGAACGAAAGGAGGTAATTCCTGTAGTTATCAGTAGTGGCCAAGGTAACGAGAGAATATACAAGTGAATGCATAGACAACGACATGTACGCAATCAGGTTGCAAACTGAAATTCGACAAGCGATCATATAGTGTATGATTGACAGTCTGCTTACTGTATGAATATTCATGGAAAATCTCCCAACATATCGCAATAATCGTGTAAGTCCAAGGAATACCAGCCATAACAACAGGTACTAGGAACTGGAGGCAGGATTGACTTTCAACATCTTTGTGGACTCACTTGTATCATCAGAAAAATTGTAAATTTCTTTTGTAGATATTTTGTTCTTCGACTTATCGCAGGATTCTCTACGTAGAGATAGTGAATGCAGCCGAACACAAAAATAGCACCCCAGCCATTAAGAACAGCTGCGAATAACAAATTCGAGAAACTCCTCACATGAAACATTCACCTTCAAAGAATATCACAGAGCTTATGAAAGGTACAAAGTTGGGAATACAATGGTCTGCATAGCCCGTTTTTGAAAATACGACCATCTCTGGACTATTCTGAATGGAGATCTCATAGATACCGTCATTTCTGAATATGATACCACGGAAAGCCTGGCTTCTCGATTCACTAGACTATCCTCTCCATGAACGAAAGAAAAATAAGCGAAGATTCCAGAAGTGAGTGATATCACAACCAGCCCTATCCTTATGTGACGTTCTTTTCTAATTTTGAACAACGAGCTGTGATCAATAAGGCACTGGAAACGATAGAACACAGCTCCAACAGAAGTTGATACAGTGAGGGTTGCAAAAGAAAAAAATATAGCCTGTAAAGTAGAAAGATGTGAAGATGATAACCAAACTCCTCATTACGGATGTCTTGAATCCGCCAGGGAAGTAGTAAGCGAGAGGTCCTGTAGTTTCAAAAGCACATAAAGGAAAAAATCCAAACGACTGGAAACCACTGAGGGCAAAATCTTCGCAGATATTGAGAAACTGAAACAAATCTTAATATGATTACTTTCTGAATACCCTAAGACCTGATGAGTAAGAATATAGAATCGAATGTTACCGAACGATTTGGAAGTGTAATTGAATACGATGAAGAAAGTCAGAGGGTTGATTAGGACTGCTAACGAGAAAAGGTAAAAATGGAAAGTTGATATAGTTTTCAGAGCATAGTCATAATGAATATTGGCTCGAGTATAGTTAATCATATCCCAGAAGCGCTTGTTTGGAGTGAGGATGAAGCCAACAGCAGCGGTATACTCTTCAAGTAGTCTAGAATCCAATCAGAAAATGTTGGAATGATGAGGAGTGAACGCGGAAACTGCTATCGCTCTGCCAAAATGTGTCAAACGCTGAAATCGGTTGATGGAACAAATTAAATTATAACGAGCATAAAAAAGATTTTTTCTCGTTCAAAAATCAACACTAGCTACTAATTATTGAATGAGAACACTTGGGAAATTTTTGCATCAAAAGGTGACAGCAGGTTTCTCTAGGTTAGGGTATAACATCGAGGTGAATTTTTGGAAAAGGACTTACATTCAGATATTGGTTGTTTCGACTAACAAGTAGAGGGTGGAGGTTTGGAACAAAACGTAATCAAGTTCACCAATTTACCAATTGTATGAGCTTGTTAGTTTCGTCAATGTGTTATAATAACAATGCAGTGGCACTGATACGATACTTGGAATACGTAACTAGAAGTGGAAATTGGATAAATGAATAATTCAAGCTCATTTACCAATATCACTGAAGATATCGTATGATAGCATTATCAAAGTTCTCCTTTCACTAGCTTCGATACTCTTTGTTGAACAGTGGTGAGCATCTTCGTGCAGTTCTCAGAAAAGTAGTTCAACGGAACAAGATGATAATTTCATTATGTTATCTATCAGAAGTTTTTTATTCTCGGTTGATTCCATTGCAAGGCGCACCAGGTGCACAACATAAGAAAACAATCGTTTATGTATTGACGAAGTCAAAAAAAAAACCATGCTTTGATAATGCATCTTCCAATAATACACAGTGTTACAAGTAAGTACATGAACTGCATGTAGAAAAAGGTTTACGTGAGAATCACGTCAAACGTGGAAAACGTGTATATCACGTAAAACGTGGTATAGGCCAATTTACATTCATTTAAAATATCTGCATGGTTAACAGTTGGTTCATTTTGAAAGTTGTTATCATTAAGTAACGGGATATAAGAACATCCGCTAATGGCAAAAACCCTCTTTCTTACTGTGACCTTCTGCCTGACTTACTGTTGAACCGGACGCGATGAGCAGAGCGTCGCGTCTGTTTAAAAACTGTTTTGTTTGTTCAATTTACTGGTTTCGTTAGCCTTTTTCCACTAATTATTCGATTTTAAGAATGATCAAGATTACCATTCGACTCGTTGGACAAGAGAAAGATATATTATACGAAGGAATTGATATTGATCCACAGGTTTCACTTTTATGATTTAAAGTAATTGCTCTTATGTTAATTTCAGATTTACATCTATGACGTAGTGATGTTGGTTAAAAAAGTGACAAAAATACCAGAAAATTATCAAGAGATACATTTCCGTGGTGAAGAGCTACCTGATACTTGTCATCCGTTCGAATCTATTAAGGAATTTGAAGAAATAATAGTGGCAAGTTCAATTTTTGAAGATAAAATTGATTTTTTTTCAGAAACATACTTCACTTGATCGGTGGAGCCTATACCGAACTTACGTAGAGAACGTCAAAAAGCGGGTAAAATATGTTGTTGATAACGCTGAAAGAGCCGTCAAACATCATCAGTACTTGATGGAAGATGGCTTTTTTGATGTGTATCCCGATTTCGAAGAATACCGTCGAAAACACCATCCTGAAATTGCGGCATGGGTAGGAGGTGTTCTGGAATTAATGGTCAATGACGTAAGTGACCATTTTCTCTTCCAACACAGACGGCAAGGAGGAAAATCACTAGCCAACTTCAAGTATAACTGGAACCCAAGAATAAAAGATATGAGCGGAACCCTGAAGGGAATCACTGCTTACGTCCAGCTTCATAAAGAAGAGCAGCCAACCAAATACTTGATCGAATGCAATCACAATGCAATTTCTTCAAAAGAATTTTTTCTGGATATTATCAAAATGTTTTGCTACAAAATTTTGGAACTTCTGGAAGTTGGACCGGCAGTTCAATTCATCCTTCGTCCCCAACGCAGAGGCAAGAGGATCACGTAAGCACAACTTTAATTATAATAAACAAATTATAAAGTTAATAGTGAAAGAAATAAACAAACGTCTGATTTCAGATACATTGCTTGTACTTGGCGTGATGATTTCATCCCCTTATCTAAACTTACCGATAAAAGTGAATTCAGTATTGAAGCACTTATCCAATTACGTTTGCTGAATGTGCTTCTATTCATCGGCGATCTTCATGGCGACAATTGTGGTCAGTCATTTTGTAACATAAATCAAATGACAGCGAATCTTTCTTACCAAAAGTACATTAAACTTCAGGTCAGTGGAAGTCCACAGATAACGCCGCTGTTGTTGATCCGATCCCACTTCCGTATGCGACTTATCCAGATGTTAAAAGAGCCGTGCATGCTCCTTTCGAACTAGCTTGGGATGATGTGCCTCGCAAGTTGCTTTTGGAACATCCTCAACAAAAATTTTGGGATATTGCCCGAAAAAGTTTGGATAAGTGGAATCTGCTTGACAAAATAAAGCAAGCGAATGAATTAATCACGGAAGAATTAGCTTGTGAATCTAAATATACCGTGACAAACGATCTGGACAATCACTTGGATGCAGTTATAGCCAATTTGGAAAAGCTCTTGAATGAGTTAGGTTTGAGTCAATAAATGTTGTTCCTTAATGTTTCAAATAAATGATCTCTAAATAAGAAAGCTTCACTTACTATTAACTGTTGTACGTCTGTAGGAGAATGTGGAGAACGTTAGTTTCTTTATAGTTCCTTATCACATGGATAAAGAAGATGATCTAATGTTTGTCTGCAACAGAAGTGAGCCATGAAGTGACAACTACGAACTCTTACCGAACTCTTGCAATTGGAAATTGTCCGATCAAGTCAATGATACAATCAAATTAAAAACATCTTCCTCACCTTCGGAATCCGAAGACCTGCGTGTGAGAATAATACAGCACACGAAGGTTATTGGAAAAAACCGCTATGAAACATGAGCATCACAATGAAAAGTGCATCCCACAGAAGGGCAACTAGTCATCAGCAACTTGACAGACAATAAACGAACCAATACAGTTTTTTCTGCAGCCCCACTGAATATTCTTTGTGGAATCATTGTTCTGCTGAAATTACCAAATACTAGAGTAACGTAGAGAGGAAGATTCATCTCCCGAACTCACCAAGCTGCTAGACAAAACTCATCGAGAACATATGAACCTTGCACCTTTCTCAACAACACATGTAAAACATCTATCAGCTGTGAACCTTTAGAATCTGGCCGCATAATCCTGTCACTCGATTTCGACTCACCCTTTAGGTTCGAAATTATTGTTTGGCGGACTGTACGCAAACACGTACAATCGAATGATTTGAATTTCACGCAAAGACGGACCAGAGGACGAATGATTCGATCTCAACTGAAAAAATAATAAAAGCATGGCTCATATAGCACAGGTTAGATAGTTTAGGCGGTTTAAACTAATTGCCCAAGCTTTAGTTGAAGATCAGTGGCGTGCGATCTGTGGGAGTAGATGAGGAAGATGCACATATCATAAAGTTTCTAAATCCTCTCACAATCATTAGTGGGCCAAACGGAACCGGGAAAACTGTAGGAAATCAAAAACTAGACTTGCATTGATGTTCATTCGCTTTAGACTATTATTGAATGCTTGAATTATGTCACAACTGGAGCACTTCCTGCTGGAAATCTACCAACATTCATTCATAACTTGAGAGTAAGAGGACTTTCAATATCTCTATTACTCTTTTCTCAGCTTTCGCGGAGATCCAGAGTGGACAGCATGGTCAAGTTACAATTTTACGATTCGAAGAACAGAGAATGTGTAGCAACGAAAAGAATGACAAGTTCTTTGACTAAAGTGAACGGTCTCCTGTAATCGTAGTAGACATGAGTAGTTTAGGGAGACAAATTGAAAACTGAATCCGAAGAGTTTACTATACAAATCAGAAAAGATGGAGTGGAGAAAAAAATTTCTTCGAAAGTTGCTGACTTCCGAAAAGAGGTTATACTGAAACCAAAACAGTTGTGATCTCACACTCTCATAGATGCTCAATCTCCTTGGAATCCCTACAGCTATATTAGAAAGTGTTGTTTTTTGTCACCAAGAAGATTCTTGCTGGTAACATTGAGATATGATGCATTCCAAATCTCCATCCTTGTAGGCCTCTGAGCGAATCCAAGGAGTTGAAAAAACGCTTCGATAAAATATTTCAGTTGACAAAGTTTGTGAAAGCTGTTGACCAAATGAAGAAGATCAGAAAAGATTATGTTTGTTCTCTGGACAGTTTGTTACATGGATTCTCTTTTCAGCTCAATGAGTTAAAGGTTTTAATGGAGAAAAAGAACAATGGTGAGATGTTGCTCTTGAACAAAGCGAAAGTAGGCTCCGTGCAATGATTCTTCACTTTCCTTTTCAGTATATGCGTGATCTGAAAAACACGGAGAAAAGTTGTTCTGATGCCTCAGAGAAGTTGACGGAGCTTAAGACTAAAATTCAGGATTGCACTTCTGTTAGTTTCGGATACTGTTATCATCTCATGTCCATGTTACAGTTCATCAAGTTAGCCAGCGAGAAGCTAGTTCATTTCGAGAAGTTGCAGAGAACCATAGGTTAGCTTCTCCTTCATTTCTATGTTTTGGTAGTATGTCGTTTTAGATCTGAAAAATGCTGAACTGAGAGGAAAACGAGATCATCTAAGTAACCTGAACTGTCCACCTTTCAATGGTTCTGTTGAAATGCTACAAGCGGAAATAGATCAGGTATCATCTTTTCACTCAACGAATCGTAGTCCGTTCTTCTCCATAGATAACTTCACTAGCTGAGTTCCAAAATCTGATGAAGGAAAAATCTAATTTAGAGCAGAAAATGTCTCGTATTCGTAAAGAAGTCGAAGATCTGAAAGTGTTTCAAAAAACAAAGAATGATGAGATGGCCAAATTTAAAGGAGAAGAAATGGCAAGTCGTTGATTAATTGCTTTGATCACAGATATGTTTCAGCTTAGATCAAGTTTATTGTCTACTCTGGGAGATTTGGAGCAAAATCTTTGCTCGAAGTATGGTCTGAAGGCAGGCGTCAACTTTGACACAGATTTTGCCGAGCTCGTCAAAACTGAAGAAAGCGTGCTAGGATCTGTCAAGGTAATTACTGATTTTCGTATTGATTTTGGAAATTTTGTTTCCAGTTTGATGTTTCTGAACAAAGAAAACAATATGATGAGACCATCTCAACAGCTGATTCGAGTTACAATAGTTTGAAGTTCGAGCTATCAGCAGTGCTCAATTCATTGGCTAAGCTTGGGAATGAAATTCGTGAATCTGAACAAAGATTACAATCCGCTGCTACTTCACAGTCAGAGTGAGTTGCCCTGCTGATATACGTGACAAAAGATGCTGATTTCAGAATTAACAGTTTGAATGTTGAAATCAAGAAACTCGAGAATAATATATCGCAGCTACCTATCAGTAATGATGAGAAATCGAAAGCACTGAGGGATCAAAGAGAATATCAACAAACAATTGTGAGTCCATAAGCATTACGCTTCTTCGATACTTGTTCATTACAGTTAGCAGACATACGTTTGCGTTTGAAAAAATCTGAGTTATTCGAAGAAACTGAAAAAGATATTGAACGGAAAAGTGAAGAATATAATAGTGTGCATTCTTCGCTGGAAGAAATGAAAGAGAAGCATCGTGAAACTTTTCTTTCCCTGTTCGATAGATTTGATGAAGGTCCTTGGAGGTAAACTTCATTAGAGAAACTTGAACTAGTTGGGGATTTCAGCAAAAAAATCACAACCGCTCGTGAAGCGACTGCAGCAAAACAGTCAACAGCAGAAAAATCACTGAACAAAGCCTTATTGAATGCTGAGCGTGAGAAACAGAATATAGTACAGATTGAAAAGAATCAAAAACTATTGAAAACTGAACTAACCGAGATTCAGTCCAATATTCTAAATGTAAGCTGATATAGTTCGTAAAGGTATATTATCACCTTTTAGACTTCGGGGTGCTTACCGGATGATGTGACAAGTCAGCTCAACGATGTGAAAACAAGTCTGAAACAAGCAAGGAAGGACTTAGCACCTTTAGATACTAAGGCGGTAAGGCTTTGTTTTTTGCATTTCGTATGTCTCTCCAGATACTTTATGAAAGTTGGAGCAATGAAGTTCAAGAAAAATCTTGTTGTCCTTTGTGTGAAAGGAAATTTTCCGGAAAGACTGGAGCACAAGATTTATCAAAGAAGGTAGTTCAGTTTCAAATGCCTCGTTTGATTGTTGCATATAGTTAATCAACATGAGTATCAGTTTCCCGGAAGAGATTGAAAGATTACAAAGCCAAGTTTCGTTTTATGAGGAGAAAGAAAACTTACTATCCTCTGCTGCTGTTGATGTGGATAGAATAAAGTGAGTTCGCTTTTGAATTGCCGAAACCGTTGTTTCCAGGAAAATAGAGGTTGAACTCACTGAACTAGCTGCTAGACGTGAAGAGTCTGAGAAAATTCTGGTAGGAGAACTGGGATCTGTTAGAACTTGTAGATCAGAAGTTCAAATGATCAAGAACCGATTAACCAAGTTAGACTTGATTCAGGTATGTCATTAACTATGATGCATAAAGTATATTCTACAGATGGACATAGGACTGATGGATAATTATCTCAGTTCCTCTTCTCGCATTAAGCTCGAGCTCGAAGAATTGAAGCTGAGAGTCCCATGCTCGGATGAGAAGAAGTCTTGTCGCGAACTAAAGATGATGATTGATGATCAAGAGGTAGAACAACTATAGTTTCTTTGTGATCTCTAGAATTCAGGAACTGATCAATCGGTTGATACATGAAAGTGAAGCACAACAAGCGGAAACTAATAAAAGAAATCACATGTGTGAAAAGGTAAGACTGTTGAAACGTATAGTATCATTTGATAACTTCAGTTGAATTCTTTGCGAGATCAAAGAATTACATTAGGAGAAGCCGCTGCCCAGGCGACTATGATTCTAGAACAGGTAAACAATAGAGTTCTTCAAAAGAATAACTTCTTTCATAACAGATGGAAATCAAAAAGAAGGATAGGTTAGATTTATTAAATAAGGAAAAATCTCTGAAACTGGAGCTACCCATAGCGGCGAAGAATCGTGAGGTTGGATGAGATATCTAGTCATATACTTTTAATGGAATTCGCTTAGAGTGCCAAAAATGGACTTGTGGAATTCACAGAACGTATTGCACTACAGGAAAGAAAGCAGAACCAGATAGTTCAAGGTAATGAAGATGAGAATGACCAAGATTCCTAACTTCATGAGCTTAGTAATGCTGGTCGAGAAATCCAGACTTGACGATTTAGTGGAAAGGCTAACCAAGATTTCGGAGAACAGAAAACAGGTATTTAAGTAATCTTCATGTTTATTAGATGTTTTCTTAGTCTGAGGAGTGCTCTGATATGCTGCAGAAAACTGAGAACGATATCCTCCAGAAAACAATGCTTATGAATCGACTTGAGAACCAGGCCGGTGACTTGGATAATATGGTAGGAATGAATCTGCGTCGTCTGATCTATAAGCTCCTCAGACCGCTCGCAAACGGACCCTCGAAGAACAAAAAACACGTCTCATTCTTGAGAACCATGTAGCTGAGCTCGTTAATGAAATTAATGACATGGAACTGGAAGCTGAAGATCCTGACACCATACGCGAAGAACTCAATGTACATTGCGAAATTCGTGTACGCTTCTAAACTTCTATATTTACAGCGAAAGAACTCTCAGAAGTCTAAAGCAGAAGTTGAACAAGGTAGAATCGAAGGCCAGTTGGCAGTTACTGAAAAAACAGTTAGTTTTCGTGGAAATGAATCAGGCTTTGATTTCCTTCTCAGAGACGGGAGGCACAGCAAGCGCTAGGCGCCAAGAACATGAAAGAAGCGGAGAAAATATATCGTGATGTCGTAGTTGACCAGCTCGTCTGCGAAAAAACCATAGAAGATTTGGACAAATATAGCAAGTGTCTCGATACTTCGATTCTCAGGTTCCATACTGAGAAAATGGCTGCCATCAATGACATTCTCGATGATTTATGGAGAAAAGTTTATAAAGGAGGAGATATAGAGAGTATTAAAATAATGTAGCGCTTCATCTTAGGTATAATAGTTCACATTCGTTTTTCAGATCCGATGTAGCTGGTGCTTCCACTGATAAACGAAAGTCGTATGAGTATAAAGTGGTGATGTTGGTCGAAGGAGGAATAGAAATGGATATGAGGGATAGGTGCTCAGCCGGACAGAAGGTTGCATTCTTGTTATAGGCATGTGATGTGTGTTTTAAGATGCTCGCATGTATCCTCATCAGGATAGCCTTGGCTGATGTGTTTGGGGGTGTGTGCTCCATGATTGCTCTCGACGAGCCTACAACCAACCTTGACGTTCACAAAGTTAGTTGATATTAACTGTTGCGCAAGATTCGACTTATAGGTGGAATATCTGGCTGAGATGCTAAACGATCTCATTTCTGCGAGGAGGAATGATGATGAATACAGTTCCACTAGTGGCAGGCAGTTCCAGGTAAGTCAAGTATTCAATTAGAGTATCAACCTTTTATAGATGATTGTCATCACTCACGACCAGCGGCTTGTTGAGCAACTCACACTAGGAACCCGTCCAGATTTCTATTATGTTCTAGAAAAAGATATGAGAGGTTTATCAAACATCAGAAGAAAGTATCCGAACGGGTAAGTCGGATATAACAGGAACCTCAATCTTATCTTATTCTCAGAGAAACGGAACCATCCAAGTGAATCTGTCAATGCAATTGTTAATAATGATTTGTTCATATTTTTTTGAGCTTTAATAAACATATTTTATAAGTGGAAAGTAGTCTCACAGAGGAAGTAAGGAGGCATTTCTGCGACACATATCACCATAATGAAACTCGGGAAAGTGCGTCTCAACCATTGTGATCTCTGTCAGTAGTTCAATGCAAAATTCTTGATCACAGTACGAAGCATTACGAAGAACGAGGATTTCCACTGCAGGCGTTAGAAATTTCACATAAGTAATAGTAGCAGGACAAATCTCAAATAGAGAATAGAATATATAGAAGAGACTTAACAAACTGAAGTATTAGAAAGCAACATATTAAATGTTAAACAAACGCTCAGTGGTCAATTCGGATAATTCAAAATGAATACGTGATTGGCCGTTAACATGGTGTTGATCATTTTGCTCTAACTTTCGAATCCATTGTTCATATCTTCTTGCGCTCTTATAGAAGTTTTGATAAGTTGAAGACAGTCTTAGAGATAAGAAGAGCACCGCTACTGATCGGAAGCGGAGCACTTTGACGAAGTTCATGAAACTTTATCAGTTGTTAACATTTGTTAACAATGTTCATAAAATTGAAAGGCGGAAGAAAGGTGTGAACGCTTCTGAAGATGATCCGATCTTCTGGAGTCTTTAAATAGCTGATAAATCGGCATAATCATCGTCATCAGTACACTTGTCCAGCACAATGTATGCTCAGAACTATAACCAATCCTCGGATGTTGTCTCTATGCTCCTGAACTGCTCCAACTCCAATGAGAAAGGTATGAGTCTTATAGATTAATGATTATCTCACCAGTACATTTTTTACAGAGCAAATGTTTTCATCAGATCCACTCACTTCTCCTTATGAGTTCAAAAAAGAAGTTGTTCAATGGCTCAAGCAGTCAGAAGGTAATTTCCTATTTGTGTTTTTCTTTCACAATCAAAGTTCAGGCAATGGCAGTTTGGATTGTCCACCACAACCTTCTCATGAAGATCTACAAACTTTCTACGAGTTTATTCGACCCATGTATGTTATTCACAGTTCATTAAGATAATCTCATTATCCACTTTTCAGGCACACCCAAATGCCTTGTGAAACTCCATTGACATGCAATACACTCAACATGAATGTATCTCAAGATTTCCCGAAGTATGCCAATGATCTCGAGGTAACTTTCTTCTATAAAATTTCTTCTCAATTTGTATGTTAAGGTTATCTCACCTACCTCAACACTTGATTCATCTCTCAGTCCTCCATACATACCTGAAGGCTCTGTGCAAGCTAATCATCCACTTCTCATCCAGTTCCTCCAGAATCAGCAATACAAATGCAATGTGAGTTTTTTATAACTTAAAAGAGACTGAAAAAAGTATTTTATAGGAATACCCTACTGTTCCACCACCTCCATTCTATAACTATCAGCCAAGCACTTATTCATACCAATATCATCCTTACATGCAACCGACTGCTAAAGAAAACGTCATCAAATCACCGACGGATCGTCCTTTGAGAGTAAGTTTTGAATTGAAATTCGAGATTCTTCAACTGTTCTTTACAGAGTGCTGCTGGTCAACTTCATAAGAACTCCGTGTGTTCTAACTGCAAAACTACCGAAACTCCTTTATGGCGATGGAATGTCAATGGCGAAGTGGAGTGCAAGTAAGACGGTTCAAACAATTACCATTTCTGAATTTGCTATTTCAGTGCTTGTAACATCTACCAGGCTCGAAACAACCGTAAGAGACCAGTTAGCTTGAGAAAAGACAAAATTCTCCGACGAAAAAGACACACTCCTAAGGGAGTTGTTGATCTTCAATAGTTTACCGGATCTGTGATCGAATGAATATGCATGTTTCTCTAACTTATAGCTCCGCCCCAAAAAAAATCGCTCGAATTAATATATATTGTACCAGCTATTATCTAAATAAACACTAATTATGAATAATGATGTGACACATTCTACTCAGACAACGATGAACCAATGACAACATATAAAAGTTCAAAAACATTTTTCATATTTTTATATTTCAAACTCCGAAACCGCTTTGCAGTAGTACTTTGCCTCTCCTTGAACGTAGTTATTCTTCGCCGTATCTGATACGGCGTCGTTGAGAAGTCCCAATGCTATCGATCATGATAGAAACTTCAACAGTCTTTAGTTATTAGGTTCCCTTTACACTCATCACTCACTACAGAACCTCATTATATTATATACGAGACTAAAATAGATAACAACCGGCCAACACGTCTCACAAACAACAAATGCTTGATGAAGGTTTAAATATGTCTCGTAATTCACTTGAAGATTATCCAATCAAAGACTAATCCACGTCATATTCAAACCAACAAACAGCAGCAAAATGTGATGGAGGAGAATTTATTAGGAAATACGAGAATAATTGAAAAGAGATCTTACATCAACAAACGACAGATTTCATGAATAACAGGTTATCAATATTAGTTCTGTACAAAACAGTAACAAGAACGGTTTAATAATCATCTAGGCGATGCACTTCTTGACTTTCCTCCATCTGCTTCACGGCTAGGGGAACGCGATTTGTCTTTGCTAGCTGATCTGCCCCGAGAAGCGCTTCTTGACTTCGAGCCAGAAGGAGAGCGTGTTCGGCTCTTACTTCCTGAGCGACTTCTGCTTCGACTTCTACTTCTTGATCGGCTTCTAGATCGACTGCGAGATCGCGATCGAGAACGACTGAAAAAAGATTGAAGATTGTTATTTAAAAATATCTTACCTATGGCTGCGTGAATGACCGCGAGATCGAGAGCGTGAGCGACTACGGCTTCTCTTCTCAGAATCATCAACTAGCTTAATTTTTCTTCCGTTGATTTCTTCTCCTTGCATCTTGCTGATGGCTCTTTCTAGATCATCCCTTGAAGCAAAGCAGACAACCCTGAGATAAGTCACAATAACATGAGCATTAAACCAAAAATTACCCCTCGTTAGACTGAGTTTTGTGTGCATCGGCATAAGTAACTTCGCATCCAGCACGTCTCATCAAATCTTTCAGATCCTATAACATTCTTCGTTGATCATCTCATCATTCGCGAGTTAAGTTGCCAGTCTTGATTCACGCCTAGATCGTTTAAACGGATTTACGCAAAGCACGCTTCATCGTGATCGACATCGTGTACAACGGGGTAACTATGAGCCAAATCGTCTTTCTCGAATTTACATAGAAAAGCAGGTCGACAGGAAAGAAATCGAGGAAACAGAATCGTTTTTGAACTACTGGTCATCGCGAATACAATTCCAATCACCAGGCCACACGACCGCACAGGCTCAGTGATTCCCTCAAGACTTTCAAGAGACGTCAACGAGCTAAGAGTTGCAAGTTGGACGAAATATCTAGTAACAACCATGGATAAAGAACAAACCTGCCAAGAAATCCTGGTAGATAGATTTTCCACAACCAATCTGTGTCGGGTTTGTGTTGGTGGTCCATACCGTCTGGGACAGGGATAATAAGAGAACAAATATAAAACAGTAATACTTACTTAGATCTTTCATTTCGTCTGGGTGGGTAACGACTGTCATACCCTCCACCACGATCGCCACGATCACCGCGATCACCTCGATCACCACGATCCCCACGGTCGCCACCACGGTCACCGCCACGATCGCCGCCACTTCGCCCTCTTGGGCCTTTCTTTGAGAACTCCAACGTTACACGCTCACCAGCAAGTGACTTTCCATTTAAATCATAAACAGCGTCATCAGCATCTCTTGGGTCATCAAATTCCTTAAAATATTCATAACAAAAAAAAAGAAGAAACAAAAAACGTACCACAAAGCCAAAACCGTTTTTCAAAACAATGTCTCTGATTCTACCATAGCCATGGAAGAATATTTCAATATCCTTTTCGGATGCTCGAAAAGGTAAACGACCAATATAAACCCTTGAAGTCATTATTGTCTCGAGAGGGAAGCGAAGCCTATTTCTCAAGACGTAGTAACGCAACAGCCACGTCTGCTTGGAATGGATTTCCCGCCCTCGTCAATATTCTATTTGCTTACGGTATCTAGGATTATAGGGCTATGGGGCGCAGATTTAGCATTGGAGCAGGTGCTCATTTCCTTGTTGCTAAGGAAATATGATAATTAAGCCCCGCTTACAAACACATGTCAAATCCTATTTGATAGCTAGTCTACGATGGATAAACGTTTTGGGTATTGAAACAAGGTAGTTATAGCTTGAGGTATTTGAAAAATAAAATGTTACAGTTGCGATGATACTGCAGTTGCGATTATTAACGATAGGAAAAAAGTTTATTCGGCGTTGCGATATACGAATCGAGATGAACAACGTGAAAAAGGTGGGATATGCCCCGCATCAGTTGCGATTCAAGTAATCAGGTTCACAATACTGTTGTAAAGCAAGATTTTCAGTTTTAGCATCGCGAGAAATTACCGAACTTGGTCTCAAAGTGTATGCGGGAGTCGGGACTATCATATGAAGAGATTGATGCCATAGCTGTTACAACAAAGCCGGGACTAGTTATTGCTCTGAAGGAAGGAATTAAAACAGCTATTGAAGTTGCAAGGTGAAGTTGTTGCTGTTATGCTTAACTGAGTTTTCTGCAGAGCCCAAAAGAAGCCACTTATACCCGTTCATCATATGAGAGCTCATGCTCTCTCCGGCTTTCTCTGCTCTGAATCTTTGCAGTTTCCGTTCTTGTGCCTCCTGATATCAGGAGGGCATTCATTAATTGTATTAGTAAAACAAGCTGAGGATTTTGAAATATTAGGTGACTTTCTACTACATGGTAATAATTCTCCTTGCTGCTTCAGGACAGAGTTTATCGGGCAGTGCAGGGGAATGCCTGGACAAGATTGCTAGAGAACTAAATGTACAATCCATGGAAGGATGTGAGAATATTCATCCAGGTGCAGGTTTAGAGCTTGTAGCCAAAAAGTGGGTTCTCCTCAACACAATTCTTCAATTAGGATCTAGGGCGTCTGCCGATGGTTACTTACGTTATGCTGTTGGTCTTCCCAGCACACCTAGAGCCGATATGAATTTTTCACAATTGAAATCGAGTTTCCTGAACCTGATCAAACGAAAAAAAGATTCTGACGACTTTTCCGTAGAAGATTTTTGTAGTAGCGCCCAGGTTTACTTTAATCTTTGTGTCTCTTGAACCCCAAATATGATTTTCAGCATTTTGTAGCCCGCCATATTATATCCAAATTGAATGCTGCGTTTGATCATTTGAACTCCACTGGCGAAATAAAGAGTCTACGCCATTTAGTGATAAGTGGGGGAGTAGCGTCTAATATGTATATAAACAACGGTAGAATGCACTTACTAATCAGCTTTAAAAACCTTATGTTCAGGTATAAGAAAACTATGCTCTCATTATAACATTGAACACATACCTGTACCTCCACACCTATGCACCGATAATGCAGAAATGATAGCTTGGACGGGTACTTTAATGATGAAAGAGAAGTAAGTTCTTGAATTTCTGTATGGACGTCATGCTTGTACCAACAGTTAGAATTTGTAAAGAGGAAATGTAGAATCAACCGTTCCTCACATCTGCTTTCAAGAAAATGAATTCAAAAGCAGGCGCTTAGTCGGCGTCTTGTTTATGCTAATTTCATCCAACTCACGTATTTCAGAAGCCGAGACATTTACAAATCCTCTGATATACCGGACTTGATATATGCTCATGCTAAATATGAAATCGGCAATGATGTTCGAGATAAGTTACCCAAGAAAACTTTCAATAAGCTTAGCGGATATACTATTCATGATGATTTACCATTGAAGTTTTTCAATTCAGACATGTTCAAGAGTCGTTCATAAAGATTATCCATTACACAGTGCCAAACGAAATCGAACAAGTATTCATAATAAGAAATTTATTCAAATTAACTGCTTCAAAAAAGCAGAAATTTATAAATCTATGGAAAATAGCGCAATCTCAGAATCCATGATGGCAAATGTAAAGAAACAACATTTCACAAACAAGCGAATGGAAATATTGGCCTAGAGAGATTCATACTTAATATGAAATATTTCAATTTGCTGGTCAAGCAAAAACGACACCTGCAAGCTTAATAAACGAGGCCTATAGATATTTCATTCTGGAAAATGTTAAACAACCGGATACCCAAAATCCTTGGTTTTAAGTAATTTCAATCAGTGAGACTAGACGAAAGCTTGGAGAAAATAAAACTATTATACAATCATTTAGCTGAGGCAGGTTATAAGCCTTATGAGATCAAGGAGCACCGGTTAGCAAGCTACTGTTTTGGGACAAACCACTGAAATTGAAAATGTAAGGGACATTTCAAATGAAACTACTCACCAGTGAGAATGTAGTCAGTAAGTAAAGACGGGACTGTGGAGTTGTCATCATTAATAGCTTTGAGAACTGAAAATGGAGTAAGTAAACGAATAATCATCTTTTTTACTTACTTTTAATGAGTTGGGCTAAGGTGGCGTTGTCGACATGCTGCCCTTCATTGTAGGGAATGGTAGCTGTCATGAACTGCGGCATCTGGGAAGGATCAATTTTGGACTGAAATATTGAAGTTCAGAATGATAGTGTGTCAGTTGAACTCACTCCTTTCCGCTTCCGTTCGTTGTTGAACTGACGACGTTTGTTCTGTATTGAAAGAAGTAGTGAGATGAAAGAGTTTTTCATTTCTTTTTCATATTCCAGTTCGTCTCTGAAGAAATGGGGATTTTCAGAATGAATAGTGTGATAGTACAAACCTATGGGCTAACTCTTCCACTAAACTCTCATTATAAACTTGGATGAGTTGTTCCATTTCAGCATTCAGAGTGACCAACTTGGAGTATGATAACTCTTGGAGATCTGAAATGAGCCATCAGGTAATGAGACAGAAATAAGGATGCCAAGCTGAATTCAATCGGTGCAATCCTAAGTTCACTAAGAAAGTGGATAATAGTGAAAGGTGCTGAGTGCAGATCAATGTAATCCATAAGTTAACGGAAAAAATCGAAATCAAAACCGACTAAGGATGCAGATCGGTTAATGACAGGCAACAATGGACTATCACATAAAGCTAAACTAAAGCTAAAAGAGTCAGTAAATGAAATCTAGAAAGAAAAAACAACTAAAAAAGTGCAAAAACCAATCTAAAACAATGATTAATCATTACCATGTAGGGCTTCACTGTTGAATCCTGCAGAGAAACAAGTTGGATTAATCCGTTTTGAATCAAATAAAGTAAGAGGAGAGGGACAGTTAAAATGATTTCGTTCTATCTTTTATACTCGTTTTCTAATGGGATTCGCACAAAAATGAACTTATAAGTGTCAAAAACACGGCAAGTGATGTTAGAAATGGGAAGGAGAGAAGAGTAAGCTAGAGAAGAAGATACTAGATTCAGCCCAGTACAAGAAGGTGCACCTAGGCAAAGCTAAAGCTTTTCGATCAGGTGCTTCTCAGACTACGAGTAAGATAAGATGAGAATCAGAAAGTTATCATTCGAGATTCACTGCTCAAGACAGAGAATGAGCTCAGAGCATAACTCATTAGGAATGATCACAACAATTCTCAACCGCTCAATGTCGGAGCCCTGTGTGACAATACTATTTCGATAAAATTTGACGACAGAGATTTCTTGGACTGATTAATCAAAACTTACTTTCTGGATTGCTAGCGAGTGCTTGCGTTTGACGCAATTTTGAGTCAGCGTCTGAGCAATGGCCCCCGGAAGGTAAAGGGGACCGCATGGACGAGTACATGGAATCAACAGATTCCATAGTTCTGTCGGTCATCATAGAGGCCGTAAAATCACAGGACTGCAATAGAATAAACATAATAATAAACTTTTCAATATATTACCTGTAGCATTTCATCGATCTCTTCGATGACCTGATCAGCCGTCTGTGGTGGGGAGTCTGTGAGACTTCCCTGTGCTACGAGCTGATGCATATCTAGTTGATGTCTTAGTTCGTCCTCATCACCGGATGACACTCCTCCGTCTTCGCTGTTGCTCTGAAAACAAGCGAATAAGAAAAAAAATCAATTAGAGCATGTCATCATCAGCAGGCTTCATAAATGCAATGGTAAGGAAATGAGAGTTAAGCTATTGCTGGTTGGGGCCAACACGGAGTGAACAGAAATTTGCGTGAGAAGCAGCTTTAAGGCATTAATGAGATAAAAGAATTCTAATAAAAGTTCGGACGGAGACATATTTCTTCAATTAAAATCGTTTATGTTGAAGAAATTGTATTATTTTTGTTCTGTGTGTATTGGCAGAGATGTAACATTCATATTTCGTGTGGTTTATCCCTTAAGAAGAAAAGGAATAGATTACTGGGGACATCCATTCTTCGAGGCGGAGAAGATTAATGTGTGCTTGAGGAAATAGTAAGATGAAAAGACATAAACAGAGAGAGGAAATTGTTGTCCTTTTATAGTCATTATTACAACAATTATTATTTTGTCTTAACTCTTCCGAATATGGATAACAGGACAAGCAGCATTGCCAGTTTTTAATTAAATTCCAATCTGATACTTAATGAGCAAAGCCATCTGACTGACATTCGTCTTCGCACAATTAGAACATGAGCTGAGCATTAGAAGATGCGTAAGTCATTAAAAAGATATGAAATGATCATAAGGAATATTACGAGTCAAAAGCTAAGACTCCAGAGAAAAAGAGCCTCAGGCAAGAGCAATCGATGAGCGCTGAGCCCCTCCATGTATAGGCGGCGGGTGGGTGTCTTGTTGAAGCTTTTGGCAGTCTCTCTTCATCTCTGTCATGTCTACCTCTTCTTTTACTTTCCTTTCTCACCACCCTTTCTCTGTTTGTGCTCATTCTATTTTCATTACAGCCTTATTTAGTCATCCTTTGTTATTTTCCACTTGTTTCTTGGCTTTTAGCGTCAGCCGAATGAAGCGAAACGTTGAAATGAGAAAGCTTGGGAAAGATTTTTTCGCCGCCGCTGCCTCTAAACAAGGCTTCATTCCTTTTTCCTGAATTAATTCCAAATTCAGGGAAGAAGATTATATTTTTCATTAACTCTGCTCTCAAGCGGTTCGACCAAAATATCGGAGCAAAATAAAGAGATGGGACATGTATTTATTACTTTATAGAGCACAGCAGCTGGAACATTCGATGGTCGTTATGCTGGATGGGAAGCTTTTGAAGAATTACCTTCAACACTTAATTGGGCAAAAGGGGCTTTCTGCACTTTCGTTTTTGTCGAGCTTATTCGCAAACGTTCTTTGGGCATATGAACATACCCTTTGAGAACTAATCGAGTGTTATGTTAATAGACAAAGAGATTCACGATTAGATTGAAACTGTCAAAAAAGGAAATGCATCAAAGCGACGGTGGGATTAGAATGGTAGATAAGCCTAACAGAACTACTGTGTGTCTGATGTTGAAATTTGCCAACATTTGGTGAGATTTGGAAATTTCAAATGTTTTAGGAAACGAACAACAACTAAAAATGAGAATAAATGATGGCCATTCGACATAACAGAAGGAAAATTGCAAGAAATGGATGATTGTAGAGGGAGAAGGGAGGATGAGAACAGTCGAGAATGGAAGAATCAATAAGGGTCAATTACAAACCCCAAATTTAGTTTTGCAAAACAAAAAACTTTGGCTTTCGATGACAAGCTCATGAGACGTGAGACAACGACTTGTCAGTTATTTAGGATATTTTGAATATTCTAATTGACAAGCATTCTCCACGAGTTTTACAATGGAACTTGGACTAACCGTTCGATCCTGAAGATCCAGAGCAGGAAGCATATGCTTGCGAATTGCTGATTTATGGAAATCTAATGGTTGAATGTTTCCGAAGTTTCCTGTCAAAGTCCACCATGTTCTGTAAAAGCTTTGCTTTATTCCCGTAAACTCCAGTCAACACATTCTGCTTCTCTTCTTCAAACATTTTCGAAAACGAAAAATAAGAAACTACATCCCCACTCTATACAACCGAAGCTGTAAAAATTGAAGTCAAAAGAATTATAGCCACAACATTTGCTCCGACATAAAAGCGTCTTCTTTTCAATTTTAATTTTACAGTCACCATAACTTCATAAACTATTCTCTTTTCACTTCTCTTCATTCAAATACATCAATCCAACTTCATATTAAACTGAAGAAAGAAAAAAGAAACGGAAGGTTGGCTATTTCAAAAGTGCCCAGCCTTTGATTGGCAACAATTTGCGTACTTTCCACTTTGGAAATATCACAGCTGATCAACAAACACATAATGTTCAAATAATAATAACTTACTGGCTTTCTGACATGATTTCATCCTGAGTTCGTACTTGAACTGGAGCTATCTCCTCCGTATTAGCCTCATGGTCTTTGAGGCATTTTATAATTTTTTCATCAAAGTTGCCTACCAAGTCCTAAATTGAAAACTATTAATAACAGACAAACAATTATTTTTCATTTCGCAATCATATGCATCAGCTCCCGCGCTTACGTGGAATTTACGTGAAAATCGTTCGCAGCCCACGTTAAGTTTACGTGGAAACGACGCGCGCTTTTCATTTCACGTGCATTCCACGTACCAAACGGTTGCATTCCACTATTATTTTTTTTCGAAAAAAGTAAAATGCACGAGGGGCGCGTTACCTCGAGTGATCCTGAGAATTCATCACTGATTCTTTCTTCGTCTGCCGATCTGATGGGGTTTTCCTCTTCATCACTGAAATTTGTTAATTAAATTGAATTCATATTATTAAGAATGTGAGAACTATGAAAAGGATTAGAAATATTCAATCCTAGGCTTCATTGTGCCAAACAAAATGTTTAAACTGCGGAAGTTTCAACAATTCATGGATTTCTCCAACTGTGTTAGTAAATTGTTGTTGGTATTGACCAAATTGCTCTATTTGCAACATCTCAACTATCTTTCTTTCTTCTTTTTTCATATGTGAAGCAATTCCCCGAAGGAATTGAGATGGACGTGCACGAGCATTTGTACTCCTAATGTCCTAACTATACAAAACCATTTGAATTGAAAAAAAAACGGAAGAAGAATTTAGTTAATAAAACGACCAACCACTTTGAAAAGTTCTCATCATCTCAAGAAGTGTGAAACGGTTTTTCTCTTGTTAACAAATTATTCTCGAAAAACAAAGATAAGTGGGTACTTGGTTAAATCGTGGTTGAACAAAGAGGGAAAATGAGTGACACGATGAGCTTTTGATCAAAAAGAACTGGATTGAAGGGTGTAAAGAACATATTATACTATAATCTTTATACCATATATGGATGTTCGTCGATGACTTGAGATGATTTTGCTTGCAATGCATGTATAAGCATGCTTTCACAATCTATGGTTATCATTTATTCATCTGTTTCACGAGAATTTGGATAGTCTCGTTTCGCTCTTGTTTTGCTTTTGCTCGTACATTCGGAGGACATACATAAGATTTTCAAAACAGCAAACGAGATGATGAAAGTTCTAAAAGCCAGAAACATTATCGAAGCTTCTTCTCATTCATTGAGTCGTTGGGTTTGTTAAGACTTTCTCACAAACTAGCTCTTGGCTATTCAGTAGTTGTTCCTACACACACGGAGCACATGCAAAGCGAGAAGGGAATTATGTGGAAGATGAGGCACATTGATTGAAATACAAAGAAAGATCCCAACAACTCGAACGAACAAAAACGAAAGAGAGATTGAAGCGCATATGGTAAGCAATACCAATCTCTCATAATATAAATCAAGAGTTGTATATAGTAAAACCTCGAACTCTGTTTTTCATTCATTGAAAGAGACGACAAGGGATGGATGGAGGAGAGAAATTTGTAGACAAAGGAAATCAAACTGAAAGAAGATAGAAAGTTCACAAATTCTCCAAATAAGCCTTAAAGACACTGTGAGAGAGAAAGCTCAGTCACTTCTTTTCTTACGACTAAAATTTCAGCAGGATGTGCTCGTTTAATTAAAACCAATAGAGAACTCAATTCATCACTTGTTCATCCAACTTCTGTTCCTTACATGGAAGTTCGTTGACATAACAGGAAAACGAAGGTGGCAGAGGCGCTATCCCCAACATTACAAAGCCGAAATGTGAAATTGTGGCCAACTCAATAGAGTGAATCTGAATTAGGCTTTCTAGAAGGTCATCATTGACCATCATTTGTTCGGAAGTGTTCAAATTCAGCTTTCGCAATACGGAGCATAAACTTCTTTGAGAGATGAATGGCTTCGGCAGTGAATTCGTTTTCTTTTTATGGTCACCGTCAGTTCATGGCAAACAAAAAAGAACTTCCAACGGCAGCGAGAGATGGCTCCATCATGTGAATGGAGTGATAGAGAAGAGATAAGAAGTGTTGTTTACTGTTGGAATCATAATCGTTAACCTCTCTCCGACTAGGAAATTAGCCAAATCTTCATAGGAGGCAAACGGCTGTTCGTAGCTTCTCATCAAATCTCTTGAAAGATTGAAAAGTGAGCTTTAAAAACATCTTATGATCAATGTTGTGTTGTTTAGATGGATAGCATATTGACAGCTTGTAAGCTTGAGTTTGGATACGCACATGAAGAATGGAATTATTTCAAGCAAATGAAGCGAAATTCATTTGCTCGTTGCCATTTTTTGCTCGTTCTACTAATTTGGTGAATACGAATTTCATCAGAACCAAAAGGGTGGCCGGAATTTGTTGGTAATGGAGCACAAAAGAACGAAACGAAAAGACGGCCTAAACATATCCGAAATTAAATTCAATTAGAAACGGCTGGGATGAGTAGAAAATACATTATGAGCTAACGATAGACAGAAAAAGCTTCTAAAAAGAAGCGAAGTCTCTTCAATCTTCTATTCTGGTGGATTTAAGATGAAAGTACACCACAGGAAAAGTTTTTTCTTCAAATTAACTTGACATTCACACATGGCTTCTCAGTCTCTCAGATCATCAAGAAGCACTTGGAGCAGAAAAAATGGCCGACGACGAATGAAATTCCGAAAAGAAACTTTCTAACGAAGTTGTTGAAACGTATATTTGAAGTGGAAAACATTCAAACAACTACGATATTCACTCTTATTTCAATATAAAATGACCATTACAAGTTAAGAAGAGTACATAGTAATCAAAGGTCGATGACCGAAAAGTCAAAAAAGGATATTGATCGCATTTTCGGTCAAGGAGCCTCATAGGCAAAAAGAGCCTCGGCGAAGCGGCAAAAAGAAAAAAGCAAAAACGAATGGTACTGATTAATGAAATAGCTTACTTTTGACTATTTTTGTTGGAATCAATGTCTTCTTCTTTTGCTAAAGGTATATCGGGTATTCGCAGATCGGCGTCCATGGCATTGGCTGTCTTCGTCGTCGCAGTTACCCGCATAGCACACACACAGACTCACTACGACTGCTGGTGTTGTGTGTTGGTGGAGAAAGAGGGGGGGGGGGAATAGGAACCCTCCCACTCTCTCTCTCTCATTCGTTCTTTTCTTTCTTTTTTTTCTCTACTCTAGCAATATTAAGTGTTCTTTCTCTTTCTTGCCCATCATCATGTATTTTCCTTTTTCGTCTGTCTGTCTCTCAGCTCTACAAAGTCTCTAATTACGTTTCATTGTCTAACCCGCGCTCTTATTTTTACATGGTCTCTTACTGGCTAGCCTCATAGAGTCGATGAAACTGAAAGAAAGAATGTATTATTGAAGGAGAAAAACGAGACATAAGGACAATTTATATGAGATAGTAAAGCTGGCTTAGAGTCTCAGACATAGATTACAGATTGGACAAACTATTGGGTGAGAGAGAAGAGAGATGGGAATAAGCTTATGAGGAAGCTGAGAGCATAAGGAAACGGAGACTCAAAGAAAACAAAAAGCTCATGAAAGGGAGATACTGAACAGAACGAGAGCAAGAAGATAGAGAGAGAAATGCTGTTTGGAAGCTCTCAGCTTGCTCAATAGAACGATGTAACTACAGAACATACACTATCCCCAGAGGGAAATGCGATATTGGAAGACATTTGGTATCTCCCTCTCATCCTCTTCCCCTCTATTACTATCTCTTCTTCTATTGCCGTCTCTTTGAAGGAAGTTTCTCTCAAACTGATTTTGTCTATCCATAAGATTTGGCACAATGTCCGTGATTCATGCAAATCAGTAGAAGACAACTTGAAGACAAAGTGTTTATCCGACATTGGGTGATTGCTTTTAATCAAATTGTCCTCATATGTATATAGCATGGTCAAGATGTAGAGCCACTCAACTAACTGATACTCCTCTTCATTTTCCTTTTTTGGCCAGCTGTCATGAGTTACATAAGCTATCCAAGCACATTCCTTTCCATTCCTCTGTTCAACAATCAAAATCTGTCAAACTCTCTGTTTCGCAACCAGTTCTCCACATTCAATTATAGGTTATTATGGTTGTTCAAACAATCTAAACCTGTAAAGGATAAGAATAGCATGTGAGAACACAAAAAAACTTTTTTTTTATTTTTTTCTTTCAAAAACATTTTTTTTTTGTTTTTTGGTCAAAGTTATTCATCCAGGAATGGCATTGTCGCTTTGAGAATAGATTGCCGAACACTGAGGAAAAAAATTTTTTTCTTTCCCCTCTGCTTCTTAGCAACAGAATAGATATTCTAATCAATTTCTCTTTGTTTTCCATATATGGATATAACATGTTATTAACAAGGTACTGTGTTCATTCAATTAAGATTGATATTGATCGGATTACTATATCTAATCTTTGACATGATAACGATGCATATCGATTGATGATGTACTGTGTAGAGTGAAGTATGTGATGAAGATGCATATCGATTGAATATATCCATACCAGTGATTAGCATATAAAACGAGTATAAAAGCTCATTTGAAGATATGTACGACGGACAGGACGGTTGTGTTTCTCAGTATTTAACGAGTATTGAGTTAGGTGTACTTAAATGAATAAAGATGTTTGAAAGAAAGAAAGAGAGAGAGAGAGATGACATACTGTCCATTAGCAGCCGATGAACGATCAGCTATAGATATACTTGAGTCTGCTCGAAACAAAGCTTTTTTATGAATGAATACAAGTACTATGCTGAATAATATTATTTGAATTTGAAAAATATTCAAATTTACCCTTCGAAGAGGATCATGTTCTGGTAACAGGAGGAGACTATGAAGACTGAAACGATGTTATTGAAAGTATCAGTGCCTAATGGAAAGATGTCCGGATTCATCCAGTAATACATCAGAATTATAGAAAGAACCGATTGAAGGACTGAATGACAGAATGTTCTTAGAAATGCTCTGACTTTCGATGATAATCCTTTGTTGCTTTTGCGTCTCTTCCACTAAAAGAGGAAAAAATTAATTTGGATAAAGGACAACACTGATCAGCATCCTCACCCAATACTTGCAGAGAGCTGAGAACGTGATGGAGTTGAGAATGAATGCTCCTATCACGAGAGGTATCATAAAGAAATAGGTTTGAATCTCATCGATATGGTAACAATCACCGATATGCTCTCGATATACAATTCTATAGCTTACTTTATCCAATGTATGCCTACAGCCTGAAGAATTATCAATACAGCGACTGCTTGATACCATTTGATATACCTATAGCTACGTTCCAGAAAACAAGACCACTGCCCATGAGCAAAGGAAAAACGGCCAAAATCTGTACTTATATGATTAATGCATGACTCATGACTCCGCCGAACCACATTGTTCCGTGTTTTGAAAACCTGTGCATACTGATTCCAGAAAATCATGGCGACTAGTCTATTGAAAGCGAAAACGATCTCATTTGGTAACATGTAGTAGCATAAGACTGAGTTGATAAAATTGAGAATATCACCAAGTAAGAATTTTCTGGAATGATAGAATGAAGATGAGTTTGTGGGGACGTTGCAAACTCTCTCATCAAAGCTACAAAGCCTACAGCATCCACAATGCACCATGATAGGAATACCAACGAACGAAAAAAGCAAAAGAAATTATATGGATTTCGAAATGAGCGGTTAGTTAGAAATTGATGGACAATCAAGGAATAAGGTACGATGGCGACAAGGTCAACCTACAACAAACACATTCATTCATAATCACTTATCATATGTAATAGTTACCGTAAGGGTATAGTAAAGAGTAAGATGTTGATACTTTCCCATGATGCTCTTATTGATAGTAGTAAGATAGAAGTAATCCTTCTACTCCTCTCAACTTGTGAACAGACAGTAAGGTAAGAATGGAAAGGAGAAGGAGGGAAAGGAAGGCATAAATTGAATTATATATGGAAAGAACAATAAAAAAAGAATATACATTAACACTCAAAGATTATGTTCTTGTAATCAAAGAGCTTTTGATTGTTTTCAATTTTCCTCATAACAGGTAGCCGGAATATGAATTTTGTGTTTTCCGTTACGTTACTTTATGATAGCCAAGACCAAAGTAGATCAACTATGGATAATATTAAAACCGTTTCTTACGTCAGCAATAATGACAAATGATTTTACGTGAAGTACTTTAGGTGGAAACAGAAGTGACTTACGTGCTTCACGTGAACGACGTTGTAGTACTTTGAATGTGTATTCGATTAACAAGTTTAAGCACGATTTCAAGAGTTTTTTAAAAATGGATGTTTCTGGCTTTTTTCCGTGAATTCGGCCCTGCGCTGGAAACAGAAGATTTGAAAAGATCCAAGAGCCAAGTTTTTCATATGAAATGCATCTCCAAGCTAAAAACAGAATATTAGATGAAAATAGCTTAAAAACCCTACGTCAAATAAGTCTTTATCTTTCATATCCAGCAGCAACACATCAAATTCTTTGTAAGGAACAAATTTGGATTCTCCAATAGAGCTCTAAAAAGTTAAATTTATTTAGAGAAACGAAGAACGTTCCGTGCCCTGCAACGAAAAAAATGACTCCCCTTCCTCTACGTCTCTCGTCAGCAATAATGACAAATGATTTTACGTAAAGTACTTTACGTGGAAATAGAAGTGACTTACGTAACTGACGTGAACGAGGTACGTGGATTATGCAGATGTAGTACTTTGAATGTGTATTCGATTAATAAATATAAATATATAGAATACAATTCGTTTTTATTAGATACACCTTAGTATCTCCAGGCAATCTCGTGCAAGCTCGATGCATAGCCTTCGAGCATCTGGCTTGGATGAGATTATCTGGAGAGCATATGCAGAATACGTTTTTTTGTTTTCTCGAAAAATGTAGAAATGTCAACAGAGTTCACACGATTATTCCAAAAATCTCAGAGTGAAGTGAAGACGGAATAGGAGGAAGAGAGAGAGGAAGTAGGATGACGATCATCAGACAGTGACTGGCTACCGGCCTTATTCCAAATATAGACTATCAGTTGCATTCCATACACATTCATGACCTTAAGCAATAAAATCTCGTTGGAATAATTAGCATATAATTTCCTTTTTTCAAGGCAATTTCTTTGATGCAAAAAGTTACGAAGTTTGCCAAACATCAGATACTGTTTGCTGAGCTGGGAATGTCAAGAACGAATGCAAAACGTATTTGAATGAGGAAGATACGTGTGAAGCCGCATGTTGAGGACGAGGCAAAAGGTAAAATCCATGTCCTTTAAAGGATTATTTGCTGATCTGTCACTCAAATCCATTGACAAATCGGATCAGATGAAGATTAGCTAGACGGAATGCTGAAAACTAACAGAAGAGGATGAAGAGACTTGCCAGACGTCGTCATTGGGCGAAAAGCTGAAACTGAAGTCTCTAAAGAATATAAGTTTGCATCATCTGAACGCGATGTAATAATAGCCATTGGGTCTTATGAACAACCAGAAGCAAAAAACGTTTTGAGCAACGTAGTTCTACGACTGATAGTTCAACAGATGTTTTCACAATACATGAAATAAGCTTCAACCTTTTTTCTTTTTAAAAAAAAAAAGACAAAATTGGAATTTGAATGTTTAAAAACTCACCCGAATAGCTGTGAGAAAGGAAATGATTGTTTGTGATAGAGGTTGAAGCCTTGTATGGGAAATGCAATAAATGGACGATCATGGGGCGGAGCATCATAAGTCTTTCGACAATAAAATGATTCATCTTCGAGGAAGGAGGAAGATAGTATGAAGGTAGAAGGAAAAGAAAGGTCAGTCTATACAGAGAGATGAAGGTAGAGAGAGAAAGAGAATGAAAGAAAGATAGAGAGAGGATGAGAGAAACAGAAAGAGGAAACACACATCTAGCTGGACAAACCATTCCTTCTCATCCTCCTGTCAAAGCTTTTCATGTTCAAGTTAGAAGATGAAGAACAAACAAACTTTCGACAGATTTGTCATATTTTCAAAATATTTCGATAAAGACTGTGTGACGAACTAAATGATTTATTAATTTGTTATTCTGATGATCTTTTACCAGTTTAGGAAGAGAAGATGATGGTGGTGATGAGGGAGGTAGAGAAAGGAGAAAGTCTGATTACTTGCAAGAAATTCATTTTATGACTTGGGCGGCAGGAGATAGGAGTTTTCCATATATGGAGAGAAGCAAGTTATTACCCCTTTTACCACTTCCTTTCGCCCCCCTTCCCCCTCCACCACTACTATCTTCAATTTCTTGTTAGTGACCTTAGACAAGGCTAATTCCAATTCTCTTATTAACTTTTTGCAAACTTTGTTAACATCTCTTTGCTTAGATAAACCTTTGAACAAATGTCTTTGCAGGAAGAGTCAGAGAAAGAGAGAGAGAGTAAGAGAGAGAGACCATCGTGTGAAACGTATGTTTCACGGTTCATGCAAACTAACTTCTGAATTGACAAAGTCAAACAAAATCCTTTTTTTTTTGAACTTCTTAACTTCCACCGTTCCAAATTGTTCAAACAGCTTTCTTTGCAGATTACTTAAGACCGACCGCCTTCATTTATAAGCTTCTGTTAGATTTTCTCTTTTGACTCTCAAAAAAGTTCTGTGACGGTTGTGAGTCACTTGGAACAGATGTCAGCCCTTCATATGGCTTGTGGCCTCCAACAACTGTTTTTTGTTCTTCGTAGTTCGCTTCCCCCACCCCCTTTCCCCCATATTCGACCTCATTAGCTTTTACACGCTTTTTCTCGTTCGAGATCGCTTTGACTTGCATCTTGTCCTTTCCATTTAAGGCATTCCAATCATTATTTTCTTCACTCAATAGTTTCTTTCATAAATATTAATTCTTTTTATGAATGCATTTGTGAAAACACACACATTCACAGAAAAAAAATGAAAAGCAACCGATCTCCGCGTTTCTTGTAAATAGAATGACATGTGTATTCACGTGGATCCACGTGACCTTTCGTGTCACGTCACGTGACTCTTACACGTTCATCCAAAACATGAAAATGACAAGTTGGTGATGTTTCTGCATAGCCTCATAGCCCACTTCCAATTTTTTTGTTATGAAATGAAAGATTTGTACTTGACAAACTGAAATGCAACAAGCTGATGATGTTAGTAGTCATTAAGCCCTCCGGGCATGTGGCAGACTTTTGTTCTTTCAGTATTTTTTTTTGATTGAAACTTCGCAACAACTTAGTGTGTTCATATGATTTCTCTGTTTCTCTATCTCTCTCTCTCAGTTAGTTTAGTTAAAACAATTCCATTTATGATTACTGTAAACACACAGACGTCGGTGCCCTGCATTCAGATGAGAAAAAACATATTTTGATCATTTCATGTTTGAAATACCTTTGTGAGGAGTTCTTGTTGTATTTGTCTTGTTCCTTACTCCACCCCAACCCCAAGCCTTAAGTTCATTGTTCATTTCCACCTCTCAAATATTTCATTTTTTAATTATTTTTTGGTAGCCACCATTGATTGACGAATACTCCAGCTCCTACAAACTTTCTATTTCTCTGTTCAGCTTGTCTGCCAGATCAGAAGATTTAGAATTACATCTGAATCTAAGAGATGAGAGCAGTTTGAGTGTATGTGAGTGCGTGAGTATGTCTGTGTCTGCGTATGTGTGTGTCTGTTAAAGCATTCCTTGTCAGTCCCTTGACACTACAAGTTGAAAACTTGCAAACCCTGAAGTCCTTACAAATGGAAAATAAAAAAAAATTATTTATTCCGATATACTCGTTATCAGGTTCAATTTGGCGTTCCTTCCGTTTCATTCCGAAATCTCATCAGATTTATCATTACACAAGGCTGCTTCATCGTCAATGTTGACGTTCATGCATGTTGAACAACTGACTTCGTTCATGATAAGTAATAGAAGCCAACCTACTCAAACAATTGAACTCTTTTGAAATTTGTCAAAAAAAGAGTCAAACCTGGCTGTGTTTGATCTCTTTTGAAAAGAAACTTCCTCCAGCGAGCAGAGACCTGCAAAGCCCTATCATCATGATGAAATTGACTAGTGAAAGTTCAACAAAGACGTTTCTCTCATTCTCACTCTATCCTTCATTTGCTCGACCTCCTGCAACAGTCTGTCTTCTCTCACATCTGCAACATGAAGACCTAAAGCTTCATGATGGTTTGCTTCTCTGCCTCATCATCTCAACTGCCATATATAGTCATAAATAATTTATTCATTCTCTGTGTTCTAAAGTAATTCTATCAATTTTCGAAGACACATTCTTGTACTTTCAGCTTACCACGTTTGAAAAATCACTTTGAAATGAACTTTTGGCAAGCTCCCTAAGGAATTGAAGGCCGAATATTCATATGCACTCTATTAAACACTCAACTTATGAATATTTGCTCTCTCATTCCATCTCATTCTGATGTTCAATTTCATATTTGGAACGTTTATTGTTCACAGATCATTAGCAAAACATTTTGAACGTCTTTGTGGGCGACAAAAAACTGGAAGAAAATAAATAAGGGACAACCGTTGTTAGCGTCAGCAGAACTGTTCATTCATTTGAATTGTACGTGAGTGACGTGAAAGGATGAAGTATAGACATAATATGCAAATGAGGTTGAAAAGAATGTTAATGGCATTTGAATGAATAGGGCGACGGGCTATAAAATAACGAAAATGGAGTGAATGGAGTTCAGTGAGATTTACGAAGAAGGATTTGAGAGCGAAAAGAATAGAGAAAGATCATTTTCGCTTGAGTGAACGCCCTTTAGTAGAAGATCCCCACAAACTCTTCATCAATATGATGTCGACGACGACAACGTAGATGACGTTCTTTAGGCCCTGAAGAGGTTTTTGTGTTTTCTGTCTAAGGCGGAGAAAGTTTTAGTCAGTCTGCACACGCCGTTCAGCTTGACTCCAACCATATTTGATTGAATGCTATATTACATTCCTATTATTACTAAAAATCTATTTGAAAACAAAACGTTTCCATCTTCTTCACCTTCATTTTCCTTTTTTTTTCATCAAATATTTACTTGAACTCGCCCTCTTCCTTAAAACCTTCCTCGTCGTCCTCGTCGCAGCCACCACGTTATCATAGCCCTTGTCTCGCTCTTATCAACTGAACTTTTTTTTTCCTTCTGTTTCATGTAAAAACAAGATGTCGCTCTCTCTTTCAATTCTTATTTTTATTTTACAAAAATTTAAAATATATTAATCTAACTGGTTAGCAATTAACACATTCCTTCAACTTCTCAATCAATTAGGATCAAAAACCAGATGGATTATCAAGAGTCATCATCACCCATGTTTCTTAATCAAAAACTTTCTCTCTCTCTCTCTCTTCATATCTCTCTCTCTATCTCTCTCTCTCTCTTTCTCTTTCTATTCACATGCAAGCCCTCATTTACATAAAACATTTTGTTACTTCCTTTTCATAAGTTTACTTTCAGATTTACCAAAGATGTGCTTTCCAAACTTCGAACATCCTCGACCACATGGGTAAGTCGTCAAACATTCCTCACAAACTCAACTTTCGAAAATTGGTTATTCATTTATCATATTCTTCCTAGAATGGATACCATTTGTCTCTTCGTCTGCTCTCCGTTTCTTTCAGTAATTTATCATTAGTATCTCTTTTTGTTATTTATAGAAGACAGGCATCATTTACTCTTAAAATTAAAAAAAAACCTTTTTGATTGTTTGCCCGCGATCAACGAACACCCAGTAAGCTTTGCGTCAGGCAAAGCTCTTTTGAAAAAGTTTTATAAAAACAGCAACGAAGAGAAAAATAGTTGGCTGATGGATCAACCAAATCCATTTTGAAAAGAGTCAGCAAGTTCTCACGTGAGAATTGTAACCATTAGTTGTGGCATGTTCCCTCTCAAACAATACTCTCTCTCTCTCTCTCACCCTCTTCTCATTGCATACAGAATTTTGCATTGGTTGCAACAGAATTTCCTATAGAAAATATAGTTGAAGGATATTCCCATACGGAAAAAGATGTCATCTATCACCCCATTGTCACTCTAATGTAACATCATTGGATATTGATTGAGAATCGTACCCTTAATTAGTTATTCATATAATACAAAACTTCTTTCTCTCAATTTCTCTCTCACTCACACATACCTTCTCTCTTTACCTCTTTAAGTTTCTAAAGAGCGTAGAGCGCGTAGGTTAAGCGCAAAAACAAACCCCAATCTACCTACATTTAACTTTCGTTAGATTAATGCTTGTAGGTTTTCTTCTTCTTTTTTCTGCTTCCCACAAACATCTACGACCAACACAATCCTTTAACTTCAAATTTACATGACAATTGAAAATTTCGTTTTACAATCAAATTTCTTGGAGGAGAAGAAAAAAGAAATCATCATATAAACGATCATCCTCTCTCTCTCTATCTCTCTAAAGCCTTTTGAAAGAAACCCTTTATGGATATTGATTGGAAGAAGAGTTATGTTAACTTCCAGATCCACACATTGGTCTGTGTAAGCGTGTGTATGAATGTATGTGTGTGTAAGCGGTTACGCAATCAATCAGACATGTTACGTAGATGTACGTGGGATGTTACGTGGATACGTGATGTCTACATGAACGATACACTGGATGACTAATTCATTTATGTGTTGTAACAGATGATGCGAACGGTTGTTGATCAGCGAACAGAATTAGAAACTAATGAAATTAACTAATATAGAAGATAGGTTTCACTTTGTTGATTTAAAGAACATTGTGTGAATAGAAACTTAGAAAAAAGGATTGCACGGGAGGGTCTTTGTGCTTCTGATGAGAATATCGTCTTGCATTTCACTTTCTTTTCTGTCTTGCAGCACAGTTCAAACAAAAAAGTCAATTGCGTTGAAATTTTTCAGTTTTTATAAACTTTTCTCCAGTTTTTAAAACATTAATTGATTTACTAGCAGAAGCGAGGAAAGATAAGCATTACCTTAATTGATTAGTGCCAACTGCATTCTGACAGTTTGGTTAAGTTCTTCAAGTTCGATGGGTTCATGATGAACTGAGGGGAAAAAATGCTTTGAACTCCTCAGTTTTCGTCACATGTTTATCTGCCTTGCCTTATCTTGCGATAAGGCTGAAATGTCATTCATACCAGCAACCTATCCAACTACATTACATCCAGTTTGTGAAGCTGATGATTCCATGATCACATCATTGCTTCTTCCATTTGAGAGTTTCAATAATCTACACAAATGCGTTTATGCAATTGTTTGTTCTCGATTATTTTGACTCCCACCACCACCACCATATCGCTCTCCTTCTCTCTTGTTCAGCAAAAAAAACTGCGGAGTTTGCTTTGCTTCCTTCAGTTCTATCAATTGAATTTGAATTCTTGTGTCTTTTCTAGCGAATAGTCAGATGAGCAATCCCATTACTCATCTTCCTTACACCATGAGAAGGCTGAGTTACAATTTGAAAACATGAATAAAATAATTTCCTCTTATCCTGATATAGTTAGTTATTCTTTCTCTTCCATCATTCTTATTGATGGCTTTTCGTTCCTTTAATAGCCACCGGTTTCTTAGCTTTACTGGCATCACTGCCGTTCAAACACACTTTATGCTTACTTCTCCAATCTCCTTAATCTTATAAGTCTATTGCAATCGTTTGCGGTATGCGTGAATAAGATAATCAATTTCAAAAATACCTTTTATCGACGTTAATAAGTTAAGAATTTTCAGTGACATGGGCTTTGATAATAACGCCTTGAAAGTAGTCCTAGAATCATTCGTAGAAGACTTGACAGAAGAGTCCGCTGATCTGATTGTTGAGAGACCACGATTTGCTTATGCTGTTGTGATTTTGGCTGATGCGAATGAAGGAGAAATTTGCCAGGTTTGTTAAAGTTCCAACTTTCACTTTCACTCTCACATTCCAGTAATTCTTTTCAATTAAAACATTTCAGGCTTCTTGTACGCATCAATTAGACGTCGTCGAAAACACAGAAACAACTACTGCGTAAGGAATTAAGGAGTTTTTCTCTTTTCTAACATTTTTCGTTACAGCCATACTGACGAGCAAATAGAACGAGCACTCCGTGAGCTTTTCGAATCGCGCGAAATGCTGCGAGGCCCTTCGATTACAAACGAAGTAACTGTCTGAACCTATTCACTAAATAACCTCATGTTGTCAGGAAGTTGACCAGCCCGCTCAATTTGACGAGGAACCGAAAAACCGGCATATCTTAACGAACAATAACATGTCAGAAGAACTTCATCATGTTTTAGACCAATCCCCCTTGAGAGTTCGGAAATCTGACTTACAGGTTAGTGGCATAACTCAACCACGCTCATGTCACTTTTTCAGTTTCATTCTTTAAGAAGAGCTCATACGAAAGTCTAACTTCATGACGCACAGCCATATCCACACAAGCCTTGTTTTGTTAAACAAGAATCACTTCAAATCGATTGTAAATAAATATTTCTTAATATTATTCAATGTTATTCATCTGTTACACGTGTATAGAACTCCTGAATACTTGAAGATTCTTTATTTTAAAAAAAAATTGGGCATGACCCCTTTGCAAAGTGATATTAGCTCATAAGAAAATTGAATACAACCGCTCTGTGAGTAATTATTTCTGGAAATGAAATTAGCTTTTTTCACAACGCCAACTCAATTCACATCATCTATTTCATTATATTAGCATACGTTTAATATAATCAGTATCCATAACTACATTATTATGATCAAAGAGACAAGTAGACGTTTGCTTTTAACATATGGTCGCAGGCACGACCACATTTTCATGCAAACGAGCTGAGTATATTAAATTGCATGAACTATGCTTTCCTTATTTTATGATATCACTTTATTAATATTAAGTTATTTCTTTTTAGAATGGCAGAAACAGAAGAAAGATCTGTTGATGCCAATAAGCAAGACAGAAGTGAATATTACCCAGAATGGGAAGGTGATGAGGAGCAAAGAAAAGACAGAAAATCTACAGCCAAGCTTTTCGGCCCACAGAAGGATCCTCAGTGGTGGGATATTTCAACCTTTTCAAAAGTTAGTTCCTTGTAATGTTTTTGTTATGTTTGATATTGCTTAGGATGACAATCCTCACGGTTTGGTGACGGAATCGTCATTCTCTTCTCTTTTCCCTAAATATCGCGAGAAGTATATTAGGGAATGCTGGCCACTAATGGAGAAGGCAATGGCAGACCACTTTTTGAAAGCTGATCTCGATGTCATAGAGGGTATTTTAAAATAGAAGTGCAGCACTTTAATGTTGCGTCGTGTTATAGGAACAATGACTGTTAGAACCACAAGAAAAACATGGGATCCCTATATTCTCGTAAAGGCTCGTGATGTTCTCAAGCTTTTGTCCAGAGGTGTAACATTCGAACAATCCATACGAGTTCTTGACGATGAAATTTTCTGTGAAATTATCAAAATTGATACATTGGTTTGCTCTGTCTTTTTTTCAAATTCTGATGACTGAAGTTATAGTGTCGTAATAAGGAAAGGTTTTTAAAACGAAGAAATCGATTGGTAGGAAACAATGGCTCAACACTCAAAGCAATGGAGCTTCTCACTAAATGCTACGTCTGTATACAGGGAGGAACAGTTTGTGCTGTTGGTCCATTAACAGGATTGAAACAAGTCAAGTAAGTCGATTGTTGGAAGAGTAGTCCGAGTTGGCTTTTCAGTAAAATTGTCACGGATTGCATGAGCAATGTCCATCCCATCTATAATATAAAGACTCTGATGATCAAGCGAGAACTGGAGAAGAACGAGGATTTGAAGAATGAAAACTGGGAGAGGTTCCTTCCTAAGTTCAAGAAGAGAGTAAGGATGAGATTATTTTCATTTCTAAATATTCACGTAGGTACAAACTGCCGCTGCTACTAAGGAAGCGAAGAAGAAGAAGGCGAAGAGCTGGAAGGAGAAGAAACCATACACTCCATTCCCCAACCCACCACAAATGAGCAAGCTTGATCTTCAACTTGAGAGTGGAGAATATTTCTTCGATGAAGAAGTTAATAAGCGCGTGAAGATGAAGTATGTGTGTATCCTCCATTCACACCTTAATTTCTTTGTTCCAGGGAAAAGAGAATGAAGTCGCACGAGAATGCCGAGATTAACAAAAAAGAAAAGCTCAAAGTGTACCAACCTAAAGAGGAGAAGGTGATTATATAGTAGTTGACAAAGATAAACTTTCTAATTTTAGCCTCGCGAGAAGAAAACCAAACGCAAAGAAGCCGAACCTGTGGATCTGGAAGCTTTGAAGCAAAAAGCCAAAAAACTCAAAAAGTCTGCTTGATCGACTCCAATGTTTCAGCTGTTATTGGCCATACCGATATTCTCTGTGTGACTGTTGTTATTTCTTTATTACTAATAAATTGTTGTGATTTCCGTCTATGTCCCTCTTCACGTGCCCTTGGTTGTACCAAATTCAAATCTCTTTTGAAAGCTTTTTTCGGTCTCATGAATGAAATGATTAAGTATGATCGAGATAGGTCTTCATAACTTTCAAGATTACCTTCCGAAAGTGCTTGAAGCTATTCAGAAGTCATCTTTTATTTGTAAGTCGCTCATTATGATCGCATCAACTGATATCTCATTTTCAGCTATCGATGTTGAGTTCTTTGGCTTTCCATATGCAAGACACTCCGATTCTGCAGATTTGATGGACTCTTCAGATATAAGGTGCGAGTGTTTAAAATTCTCCGTCGAGCAGACAATTATTCAAGATATTCAAAATTTCGGGCTTGGGTTCAGCAATACCCTCCTTGTCAAATAGGCGTTTCATGTTTTCGAGAGAATGATTCAAAGTTTAAAATCAAAATGATTAAAGCAACTCTATCTCAAACTTTAACAGACTCGAAGTCGATTCGTTTGGCTTCAGTGTTTTCAAAAGGGTTTTACATTCAATGAGCATGAGTTCTCAAGCGGCAGAGTTTCTGGAAGAACATCAATTTGATTTCAATAATGTTTCTCAGAACAACTGCGTCGTCTATACTTTGCCATTTTAGCTCATCAAAGATGGGGTTCATTTTCTAAATGAGAGAGAGTTCAAGACATTCAAGGAAGAGTTCCAAGCTGCCACCTTTTTCCGGGAGTTTGTTGACGTCTGTAGATTCATCATAGCATATCTTAATTTCCGGTTTTCAAAGATAGGAATATCCATGAAGATGGAGAAATTGAAATGCTCGATCATGTCTAAATTGAAAGTGATTTCCTATGTTGCTATTTCGAGAAAGAATGCTTGCTTTTCAAGATTTATGACACGTACTCGGAAAACCAGACCTTGCAGCCGACAGATGATTTTCTTATTGAGCTGGAGTTACAAGAGGTCGTTGCCTCGTGGGTGATGAACAACTATGAAGCCATGATAGTAATCAAATCATTAGAAAGAAGTTTCAAAAACTTAGTTTTCAAGTTATCAACTGATAATGAATTGGTTGGTTCTTCATTCTCATCGTAATCACATACCATTTGAAGCTATTCATAAGGCCGAGGAAAAGCAGAGAACCTGACGAGTAAGCTCAGCAGCTTCGAGTTATGAATATATCGTTCCAGCCTTTCCTACTTCTATGGCTTTTCTGAAATCTTCCGAGCAATTGCTAAATGGCAAAAACCTTTAGTTGGACATAACTGTTATATGGATTTGTTACATATCTATCAGAGTTTCATAGATGATCTCCCGGGTATGAATAAGGTACTTTCAAGTAACCACAGACCTTTCCAGAGTCTTATCCTGTTTTCAAACAGAAATTCACAACTCACTTCCCTTATGTGTATGACACAAAGTTTATAGGGTTTGAATACTTGAAGGTGAGCTTTCCGTTTATTCCTCTAATCTTTGCTCTGCTGAAGTTACACCGGAAACAAATTCTTCTCAGTTCATTATCGGATTTTGTAGACTTCGCAGAAAAGTAATTGCTTCTTCTGGTGGAGTGTGATGGAATATGAGAATTTAGATCGTTTCCCCTACTCTGGCACAGTTTGCCTTGTTTACAAAACACAATGAACCCATCTGATAGTCGCGAACATTATCATGAAGCGGCTTATGATGCTTTTGTCACAGGTAAGATTTTTGTTGTCTTAGCTAGGGCATACAAAAGGAATCTGTGAGTCTCGCTTTTTCCCTCACTTAATTTGGACGGCACTCTCTTCAGAAGTGCTTCAACAAGCTTCGAGATCTTGCTAAATAGTCTCAGGCGTAGAATTTCAAATAGGATTCCTCTTGCACTCATCAATTACCAATATTGTTTTCTTGTGAGACAGTCTTCTTCTGTTTTGTGAATTCTAATTATCACAGGACGGAGAGGATCCTGTGGGCCAACGTCCCAAGCCCATCCGAATCTGTCGCAGACGTAACGTCATCAGCTCATCACACCCCTGGCTGTCAAAATTTGTGATTTTCACCTTGAACTGGCTGCTAGGTCCACCTGAGGTTCTTGAAGTGGAAATGACGATATGTATGAATGACGTCATCCATTTCAGATAAAGTCAAACAGATTAAATACATTGAATTGTCTATTGATGGAAGTGTTCGGATGGCATAGACTGAGTCTGAAGTTGGAAGAAGATGAATCAACGTTAATTATAGCGTGTGGCACGAGTCCCATGTAAAGCAATAGAAGACGAATTGTTTTCTATGACAAAAGCATTTCAGACATGATCGAATTATGTGTTTTATAAACGAACATCCTGAGTACGAATTGGTGGAGGAGGGCATGAAGAAGGCTGCCCGATCAATATATGATTGGTGTAATTGACTTCCAAATATGTTCCATGTTGTTATTGTGGGGTTACATTAAAGTGTGTTTTGTAGAAATCTCTCTCTCTCTCTCTTCCTTTCCACCCCTCTCTACCTTCCTCTCTCTCTCCACTCACTTGCTCGCGGTAAAGCCTGACTAGCTAGATGTGTGTGTACTCTTGCTTTGAGCGATTACAAATCTCATTTTCACAAAAAATGTGACCAATGAAAAGGAAAATTTATTATAATAATTAGAAATTATGCTTTTTATCATACAATACAACGTAAATTAGGTAATAATACCCATATTAAGGCACCCTGACGGTTAATTGGTTTTGTGTGTGAGATCTCTCAAAGTAGAAAATAAGCGAAAGGTGGAGGGAAAGAGCATAGCATTAGCCATTTTATGCTTATTTGAACAAAAAATGAAAGTTTGGCAACCTAAGCTTGACTTGCCCTTTGCTTATACACAGAATCGCCATTTGATCTTCTTGAACTTTTCCAGTTTTTTGTGTCGTTCTGATCCAACTTGGAGTCAATGAGTTGCGTCGTTTCGAATTGCTGGATACCACTTAAGAAGGAGAGCTTACGTTCACCACAGAAAATGGTACCAATTCTAGCGACAATCTGACACAAGGGGTAAGGTAAAGAGGAGGATGCTACACAAACAACATACCCTGAGGAAGACATTGCGGTACTTGCTACTGAAAATCATGTAAATGATAATGGTGCTAGCTCCATTGATGTTCACTAACAAGGCAGACACCTGAAATGTGATTGTGTCCATGGGATCATCTTCGCTATCTATTATTTACCTCCACTAACAGCGTTTCCAGAGCTGATTGACCAAATGCTCCAGTTAGCTCTAGGATATTATTAGCAAACGCCAATAGATTAAAGGCTAGGAATTCTGTTGTGATGGCAACTAACATGACTGTTACGCCATTCTCTTTTCGATCTAAAATTAACAAAAGAGGTTTTTAATAAGATTGTTGACCAAATAAGACCATTAGCTTGTGATGATCCGCTATGATGAGCTGTTCCATTTTGTTGGATGAGAACGTTGGTAGTGACCGAAGATGAATTATTGCCATTTATGGAAGAGATGGTCTCAGCTGTTGAAGGTACAACGTCTTTCTTCTTTCGTGGATGCATCGTCATCTGACGTCTCATTCTGCAGAATTGTTGATTGTCTGGTTGATCGAAGGAGTTTTATTACTTGTATGAGTTACGTAATGTTCCAATAATTCTCAAATTGACGAATGTCAATATAGCAAATGGAAAAAAAAACATGACGAGAGTATAAGCCCCGTTTCGATAGACGACAGTGTAGAAGCCATCAACCATTAGTTCCGTTGGAATGACAACAAGTGACTCTCTACAGTGTGATTGTTTTTATTCATTATTCATAGAATTTTAGATTGTTTTACCTTCTATGGATGTTACTCAGACATGGCATAGTTGTAAGCTCAAACCACCTGCTTGTGTTAAAAAGAAATGCGAAAAGAACAGCTGAAGCTATAACTAGCTTAACTCCTGTGGAGTTACTGATTCTCCGAATCTGTAAAACAACTTTCAGTATGTTCAAATCTATATATGGATGCATTGCAACGCTAAGGAAATGTTTTCTGTGACGAGAACGAACTTGGCCCACCAACTCAAAAATAGACAAGAACCGGATTTGAGAAATCTTGTGAGTTTAAACGAGGCAAAAATCATATGTGATGTTCGTCGACCGAAAACGTCACAAACGAGACGAAGAAGAGAAATCAGAGAACATATGGTGTTGCGATCTACGTGAAACGATCTTCACGTAAGGCATTTCTCATTTGCATTTCATATAAGCGCGAATGCGGTTGCATCTTGGATGTTTGAAAATATCAAAACAGAAAACGAACCAAAAATGGATGACAAACGCCGAGATAGCGATGAACAGACACTAGAACAGTGAGATACACTGACATGGTGAGTCCAGTCTGAGCCAATGGATAGAACCAAATGATTAAGTAGGACGACGATCTTATGAAATCTTTAAAAGAGATTAAAATTTAATTGAAAAAGCAAAGTGCACAACCTATGTCATCTGCAATTTCTGCATAAACGGGAACAGAAAAAACAAAAAAGGAAGCGATTAAAACAGTCAGATCACTTAAACTGAGAACTAAGAAGAACCAATTAACAGGCTGTTTCCTCATCTGAAACGAAGAAGGACAGTTTAGATGTGAAGAGTGTCAAGTACACACAGCACTAGCGCGTGTTGCTAACGATTAGTCATCTTAAAACTCACTGTCTTCTGAGAAAAAACAATAACATTGAGAGCATTTGCGATAATTCCAAACAAATACGTGAAAGGCATTAAGTATGCCCGAAAAAGGAATTGGACGTATGTAAATGAGTCACTTGGAGACGAATCACAGATATCCACAGCTTCTCCATCTAATTCGCCCACACTCATCCCTACCTGTAAGACATACAATGCAATTACATATAGTAACATCAGAATGTACAGCATTCATCGTTGCTGTAGAATACGGAGAAGGAAAAAAGAAAATAAGTGAAAGGCACTTGAGATAATCAACGATCTGTGTGTGTTAAACGGAATTTAACACACATTTCCATTATGCATTGCTTTATTTTGGCTCTTGCTCTCCTTTATTGAAAATAATCAAATTGGGAGAGAGAAAAACAAAAAAAATCACAAGAAATATAAATTGGAAGTGACTTAAGAGGTTGGTTTTTACCTTTTTTGGAAAACAAACAGCCCTCCTTCTCTCTCTCTATCTCTCTCTCTCTCTCTATTTCAACCTCAGCAGCAGAAGGCTGCTGCTGTTGCTGCTACGACTACTACGGCTGTTCAGAAAAAAAAAACAAACAAACGAAGATTGGCATAGAGTCAGGAATAATAGTAAACTTTAAAAGGAAAAGTATTTTAAGTATGGAAAGGTTTTACATTTCACCTGTTTGATAAATACGAGAGAGGGATTAATGAGAGGGAAAGAGAGAAAGAAAGAGAGACAGAAATATTTCTGAAAGATATGAGACGAAAGCGAGGGAGGAGGGGGGGGGGAAGACAACCAACGACTCACACAATCAAATGTTTAAGTATCAGAAAAATAGGAAAGGAAGAAGGTGGGAGAGAGACATTTTGCATATTTTCCCCCTTCAACATAAATAAAAAGTTAAATTTGTAAAGCAGACAAGAAAAAATGGCTGAAAATAGAGGGAGGAGAGGGGAAAGAGTGTCTGTTGAGAAGGCTAAAGGAGACACGCGGTAGGGGGAGAAGGATAGGAGGCGAAAAGTTTCTTCCAAATCTGTCCATTTGGTGACCTTTTACGGAAAAGCCGAGAAACGAAATCACTTAAGGACCTTGTTCCATCTGAACCTGTTAGCTTTGTTAATTAAATTTCAAAAATTTCTTTAGACATCTAGAGAGAGAAGAAAAAACGAAGGAAATTTAATGAAGCAGCTTAAGGATATGATAATTGGTGAATTGAAAGAGAGAAGCTTTTCCTTCTTTCTCTCTCTCTCTCTCTCTCTCTGACTCTTTCTCTCTCTCACTGTCTATTGGTATGTGTGTATGTGAGTGTGGGCTAAGGGTAAAATGGAAAGAGATGTCTGGTCGAGAAGGAAAACATAAAGCTTTCATCCTTCTTAGAAACTCATGCGATTCTTTTGAATCTTCTTAATTAGTCTTAACCCGAATGAACTGAAATGAGAAGAGGTTAGGTGGAAACGGAGCTCGCATGATATAATATCAAATGAATTTTGTGTTTTGAATGGATAATGAAGGGTCTTTTTGAGAGCTTAAAAAGGAATTATTTGCTGAAAAACATGATGAGAAGTGTATGCAACCGCTCAGCGCATTCACAAAGTTCAAAATGAAAAGGAATTTTTGTGTTTTTTTTTCGTTTTGGTGGAACGTGGAGAATCCACGTATGCAAATTGGATGACAACGTACATGTAAGCTAGAAAAAGGAATTTGAAGGCGAAAGACAATAGGATCCTTCGTCTACGAATCATTTAAGCTTTTTTCTGTTTCTCTTCAGCTTCTTCTCTCCAAATACGAAGTTCCAATGTTTAAATTTGTTTGGACGAACTGGTCAACGGACTTACAACCGAAACTCATGAGCTCACTGCCTTTAAAGTAAAGCGAGTAATATGAATATTTCATTTTTTCTTTTTCCTTTCAAGAGTCATGTCAATAAGTTTTGAGCTTAAAAGTAATTTATCAGAGAAAATAAAAAGAAAATAAAGAAACACGAAAGTTCACGATGATCGCTTAGAGCTTTCTCAGAGCAATTTTAATTTTGAACGACTCTCTCACTCACCGAGAGATTCGCTTCTTCTGACTAACGTCTTTCGGCAACCATCCATCAGCTGCCTTTTTTCACTTCAAAAATGAAGTTAAACTTCAGACTTTATAAGCCATAACAATTGACAGTAAAATTTAAATTTATAACTTATAGGAAAGAGCTTAAGAGGTTCTCGCTCTCTCTTACACTTGCTCGCTCTCTCTATGATGGATGTGATTCATGGTCAGTTTAAAGTGATTGCATATAGAGAACATTCTGGGAATATCTTCAGGAGATATGAATTGTATCAAATTTAACAAGTAACTAAGGAGTAGAAGTAGCACAAGACGAACTAGAAGCTGCTCATGATGATTGGAAAGAGAAGAAGACGAAACTGAAGTTGAGAAGTTAATTGCATTATTGAAATACGGTTAAACTAAGGTCAGTCACAACGGTTTTAACATGGAAAGTGAGTGTTTGTGCTTGTTCGTGTATGCTTCTGTGTAAGCCCGCAAAGATTCTTCTAATGATGGTTCATCCAAGTTATGGCATGGGGCGTATGCGAGGGGATTTGGGAAAAAATAAAGAAAGAGAGAGAAGGTCAATCTGTCGGCTAGACAGGAAGTTCATAGTTAATTTCGAGTTTGTTTAATTGTTTCACAACTATAAGCTTCTCTTCACTCGCTCTCCCTTTTGCTCTCTGAAGAAGATATATGTGGCATCTCTTTACGAATCTCCAAAAAACGGCTATGCGATGGTAGACGAGCACTTGAACAAGCTACGCCGTTGATCGAATTTAGGAATCGTCGAATGGTTACGTCAAAGGTTTGAAGTCTCACTGATCACAAAAAGAGAATACGAAGAGATTCAGAAGAGTTATGAAGAATATAAATACAAAGAACATGAAGGAAATGTCAATTTGACAGGAATATTTGGGAATTATGGATGTTTGAGAGATTAGACGGGAAAGCTCAACTTTTCTAATTTTCAACTATGATTTATGAGGAGCTTCGAAGAGAGATATAAAGAGAGACTGCCCATAAGTTATGAGAGACAGATAGAGAGATGGAAACAGAGCACGAAATTAACAACTGAACTGAGCGTGAATCGGGATAAGAAAAGAGAATAGTAGGGGGGGGGGGGGGGGGGGGCCTCCCGTTTTTTTTTTTTTCTTTTAGTGGGGAGGGG